ACAAGTGGTTCCTCCTCCTGTACAAGATCAGCTATGCCACAGGAATAGTTGGCTACGCTGTCGTTATGTTTACACTGTTTGGTATAAACTTGATATTCAGGTATGTATTGTCATGTCAACATCACTTCAGTTGTGCTAATGGAGCTCAACCATGAACACAAATATCCTTGTATTTTTTATTTAACTGGTGCACATAAAACATTCCAATAAGTAGTTTATAGTCGACATGAGGAGTCTTCTGTGTCAGGATGCAATTTAAGATTTCCATCTCAAATGAAAGAAGAAAAAAAAAAACCTGATCTTTTTTCCTGGTCTCTGTCAAACATGTAGCTCTTTGCTGCCACTAGATGATGCTTTTATTTTTCTTTTATTATATCTGTTTTGGTTCTCACTCCAAAAAACACCTAAAAGTCATTAAATCCTAAATCACAGCAGCTTGATTTGTCTGTATTTGAAGTTGTGTGTAATACTGCTCTGTGTATTTTCTGGCAGCTGTTAATACAATCTGAATTTTGAAAAGGGAAACTCACCTTTTTAAAGCATTGATTCAAAATGTAATAATAAATGTTCTCTGTATTCTGTATTTGCTTATAGTAAATGTTTTTCTTTGATAGTAACTTTTCTTCTACCTGAAAATGTAGATTAATAGTAGAAAAGAACAAAAAACAAAGACATGGCATTTTTTTGCCCCAGTTCAGTTGTGCTCAATTTGGGATTAGCTCAAAATCAACAGTCAGTGAATTCACTCAGGAATTCGAAGTCATCAAAGAGTTTACAGTTTATGCAGCCATTACTAAAGTCAGTTCATGTATTGGTGAGGAACCTCTGGAAATAAGATCAGCTGTGCTTACATTACTTTAGTGAGTCTTTATCATGATTCACTTTCTGATCCTCTTCCTACCTGAAAATACATCCTTACTTGAATACTTCTTTGAAGTTGAGGCAAACCTTTTTTTTTTCAGCCTTTGTAGGCTTGGAAATGTTTGTTAAAATGTTTTTGGTTTATGAATTGCGTTTTGGCTCAACATCTACTGACTAATATTTAAGGCAAGTTCACGTTGTTCTTCAAAATGCAGTAGATTATCCTGTAGTATTTGAAGGTAGACATGTGTTTCATGAGCTGATAGATGTTGAAGAAACACCAGCTGAGCCACCCTGCCTTCTCTGTCCAGGATAAAGCCGGAGGATGCAATGGACTTTGGTGTTTCACTCCTTTTCTACGGGCTGTACTACGGGGTTCTAGGGAGAGACTTTGCAGAGATGTGTGCAGACTTCATGGCTTCAACCGTTGGGGTAAGTAGACAGACTACAGACTCTGTATGTGTCTGTGCTGTTGGAGATAATAGCTGTGACTCAACTTCAACTCTTTTCTGTCTTTATTTCGTTTGTAGTACTACAGTGCATCTGGCATGCCAACAAAGCACCTCTCTGACGATATCTGTGCCGTGTGCGGTCAGCCTATCCTCGTAGATGTCAGTGAGGAGGGGATTATCGAAAACACATACAGATTATCATGCAACCATGTGTATCCTTCCTTTTGAGACTTCTACTGTACTCTCTTTCAGAAGAAGTGCAGCTTCATGGTGAGTATTTGCACTAGAGAATGTTTCGACGTAGGTGTGTTTAAGAACCATGTGGTGTACTCGTCACAGCCCAAAGGGGAATTGCCAGTTAAATTAACCTTTATGGCAGACTGTTGATGTTATGAAGATCTGTTTGTGAACCTGTTACTTCCTCCATTTTTGTGCTGTGTACATAACACACGGCACACACCACACATGTACCTTTTTAGTGTGAACTTCAGTCTGCTGGGTTTCTCTTTCAATTTGTTCTCGTGGGTTTTTATTGAAACACATTAAAGAGAAATCTTTTTGCAGATCATTACAATGACATGCATGAATGATAATTCAAGAACCCTGATTGGCTTAGATATTTCTCTTTTCACTTTCATAACATTTAGAGGCACACAAAACCTTTCACTGCACCAGTTTCTGCAGGTTTGATATATTTGAACTCTTCATTACGGAGTTGAAGTTACATAGTGTCGCTGCAACGTAACCTTTTTTTCTTTTTTTTTAATCTGTTGAATTCTGTTTACTAATACTTGTTATTTTGATAAGAAATGAATAATGCAAATACAAAATGTTAACACCTTTTAAGGTTTCCCTTGCCCCAAGGTCCTAATCATTAGCAAACACTAACGAAGTAACTGCTCTTATACTAATGAAAAATAACATCCTGTTAGTGTTTTGTTTGGATGGTCAACACTGATTCATCCATTTTACAGATCAGAACGTTGTCCTGACAAGCATCCCATTTAAAAAAAAAAAAAAAAAAAACTACAGCAAACCAACATTCAATTAAATTGAAAACAAAAAGTAAAATCACAAACTATTATAACCTTGCCCTCGCCAACACTGAAGTAATGTTTAAAAAAAACAATATCTGCTAACATTTTCTTACTGGAGTTTGATTTTGCCCTTTTAAAACCCTCAAAATGTTAGGGTTGATATTATAATATATGCATATTATTATTAGATTTATATTGATGAATTAGAAGGCTCCTTTTGCCCTCATGAGATGATGTGGTTGTAACTTTGTGTACAAATAAGCTGATTTTTACTGTGACACATTGTTCGATAAATGAGCTGTTTATTGAACCAGATGATCCGCAGTGCAAACAAACCGTCTTTTTAAAGTAATAACATTTGTGTTGATTTGAACTGCTGATGAAACACCGCTGTGTCGAGCCTTAACTCACACCCAGGTTCCACGAGTTCTGCATCAGAGGATGGTGCATCGTGGGAAAGAAGCAGATGTGCCCGTACTGCAAAGAGAAGGTGGATCTGAAGAGGATGTTCAGTAACCCGTATCCTTTCTATTCTGTCATTCTCACACATGTGAGCTCCACATGCTTTTTCTTTTCCCTTTTGTACATTATTTAGAAAATGTTTTATTTTCATGCAATATAAAAATGATATCGGAGATTAAATTGGTAAAGTGCATGACTATAAATCTGGCCATTTTAACTGATGACCTCAAAGCAACATAAACCCAGTCATGCCTGGTTACTGGAGACGGACGTTATCATGTAACAAAGTGGAAGTTTAGGTGCTTTTTATGTTCAGAGCCCTATGCAGACTATTTGGAACAACATTATTTATAGGTTGTATATCAAGTTCCTGTTCCTACTTGTGGTTAACCTTTTACACACTGATGCTCTTAATTACATAATCACCTTTTAAAGAAACAACCTCCTCTTGTTCTTATAACAGCAGTTAATAATGTTAGAAATGATTTTTATGAGCACCTTTTTTTCACTTATTTCAATTTTTTTATTAAACCGTTGTGTTTTCCTTGACCCATATGTTTGTAGCTGGGAGAGGCCACATGTCATGTATGGACAACTTTTAGACTGGCTTCGCTACCTGGTTGCCTGGCAGCCCGTCATTATTGGATTTGTTCAAGGCATCAACTACATCCTGGGTCTGGAGTGACCTGGGACTGGCAGCAATGGACACAAACGCCAAGCAACGCCATACGGAGTCGATATGCACTGGCTCAAAGGACTGAGGGCCTTACATTGAACTGAAACACCAACAAAAAAAAAAGTGTCTATACTTTTGTACATATTTATAGGCACACATCTGTATTCACGGTTGATTTAATTTTATTAGTATTTTGGATGTCTGCAACACAACATTGCTACACAATGTTACATCCTATTAATCTGTTTGTGTACTTTTTTGGCCTAGTAAAGCGGTTGTCAAAAATCATTAGAGAGGTGCTTTTTACTAATTTATGTCTTAAATGTTGTTGATACTTACTTAAAAGATCTTGCTGGAGTTTTTAATCCTCATGTCTGATGGCTGTCAAACATGAGTAATAAATATTGACTGAAACCTGAATAATTCTTCCAAAGTACATGACCACACAATCTGGAGACTTCCTCTGCGTCATCTAAAATGATCGCTCATAAAGCCGTTTGACCCACTTGACACCGATTCCACATTTTGAAGTGACACAAACGAGGGTTTCCTTATCGCTCACAGTCATGCGTCATGTGACTGGAGGCTTCCTCATGCAAAAGCAGGATTCCTCATACAGTACTAATAGAGATGGAACTTTCGAAGTTACTGGATTTGAAAATGACATCAGCGTTTTCAGAGATGTAATTTGTTTAAGTGCAGTGTTGTTCACTGAAATTACCACCGCAACAAAAAATCCCACCTTCAGTCGTATCTAGCCAGGGACATAGTAACTCTGCCGGATGTGATTTTTAAAAATGTATCTCTGCTTTATGTTGACAGCAGAAAAGTGAAAGTTAAATAAAAAAAAAAAAAAAAAAATATCACAAAGCATGGGCAATAGAAGCAAAACTATCTGTATTGTTCAATACTGCCCGTCAACGGTGAGAGTTGCTCTGAAATAAGAGCAACCCAGAAAGCACAAACATTTGGTACTCATATTTCAAACTAATATGGAGCAGAACAAGGAGAGAAAACGGTTGTCTTTTAATTGAAACTCACTGAGAGTGTGGATGGCTGAGTCTTATTTTCCTATCATCTAACATCCCTCTGGTCTGATGTTTTGTGTAAGATGCTTGGTTAATTATCATATCTCATAACACCAGCTGTCTTTACTCTGACCTCTCCATCAGCTCAAACAGCAAAGACTCCACGCTGTAGGACATGCCCACATGATCCATTTGTGTTGTCAATGTTTTCGTTGTGATCAGATAATAAACATCACATGGCCCCGATAGTGAGTAGGTGTTTCATCCATGATTCCTCAAGAATTTGTTTCCAACCATCATTGGGTTTTGTTAGGACATAATTCTAAACCACTGGATTAGTCAGCAAGCTTTATTTATGTAACCATACAGTGTTCTCAATTTTACTTTGAAAATGAGTGGGCAACTTTAGCAGGAAATCCCCCTGTCCTTATATGTCCACACATTGTGTGTAAAGTAGAGGAAGTGCTTTTTGTATATATAATCCTAACCCGTAGTCAGCCGCACAAAGCTCTCGGAGGAAGAATCATCATGAAGCTGTCATCTGTTGTCCAAGGTAACCATACTTTCTTTTACCAGTGTTCTTTTCATGTTATCATGGCATCGCTTGTGAATGTTGACATTTCTCTCTGACAGCCTATATACCTCTCTATCTGCTGCTTGCAGATGGATTTCCAGGTACAGTATGTTTTGTGGATAACAAAGTTTCATTTTTTATCAATTCTCTATTTTTTTTTTTTTTACTTACCCAAATGTGATCTCCAGTTTCCAAGGATGAATGTCCAGAGATCATTGGGCCTGATCACGTTCAAATAAAAGCTCATCCAGGTAACAGTGTAGACATTACAAACTAGTTTTCTGAATTATACGGCTAATGAAATGTGTTTTTAGAGAAAAAGATTACTGCTTGTTATATTGTGCAACCTTTTTCAATGATTGTTGTGTGTATATATATATATATATATAATGAAGCTATAAACAGTCTGATGGGTCTGGATATATTCTCCTCTACAGGTGACCCGCTGCTTCTTCACTGTGACGCGTTTGCAAACTGTGAAGTTGACATGGCCGTCATTTATTGGCTCGTAAACGGCACTTTCCCTGAAGAAGCTCCCAGCAGTGGCAGAATAGTAGAATCAGATGAGTGAGTAATATTCACAGTAGAGAATGAGGCAACTGCCATGCTGGTGTTATTATTTTTCAACTTTAAAATACTGTGTTCTGACATCCTGAAGCCGACCTGCATCTCAACACAAGTGACTATTTGTTTTTAGATCGACTTTAGAGGACGGCGCCATCCTCCAGAGGAGTTTGCTGTTGAAGAACGTCACATCAGAGGACCTCAAATCCACCTTCACCTGTGTTGTGACCAATGCTGCAGGGACAGCTTTAAAGAATACAACCTTAGCAACCAAAAGGAGTGGTTGTAGTGGAGGGAGAAAGAGAAAACACTAGAAGAATCTGTCAATAAATACCTGTACTAAAGCTTCTTCATATTGACAGGAGAATATCTATGTACAATATGATTGGAGTTATTTGTGTGTGAAAAATAAATAAATGAAAGTTTAAACAATTCATTCAAAAACTCAAGTGCCCAGTGCTTCAGTTCTTTCTCAGATATGCATTGGTAATCGTGTCATTTTTTCAAAAACAAAACTATTTTTTTTCCCAAGGGTTCATCATTACAACACTGAACCCAACACTGTCAAGTACAGCACTGATGGAAGCTGTTTTCCAACTCTTTCATGTCATTAATCAGGAATGACAGACAACACAACTTTAAAGTAAAAAAAAACACTTAGCATTTATTTAACATTCTAAAAGCGTCATGACGTTGTTTTAAAGTGCAGTTAAAAAAGCTCATTTTAAGACGTCAGTTGGTGAGTACAACAATGGACCAACTGAGAAATAAACCTTTATTTGTGTAGACGCCATCCATTTAATGATTCAACATTTTTGATTCACTTTTTTTTTTTTTTTTTTTTTACAAAGTAGAGTATAAAAGAATATTTATGAATGACAGTTCAAAATATAGTTTGTAAACAAAACAAGATATTTGAGGACATGATTCCCACAGCCAGATCAATCAGTTAAAGCATTAGATAGATAGATACTTTATTGATCCCGAGGGAAATTCAAATTCAAATTCAGATTATTGCGATCAGATTTTTTAATAATAGTAATTATATATCGCAGATAAAAAAAATAGAAGCATTCATCATAAACAACTTAAAACTGTTCAACCCATGACACACAATCAAACACACACTCACAACCTCAATTTCCTTTACACATCCCACATGCATGGTGTGTTTTGCTTAAAGGCTTCTTTAGTGCACATGTTTGTTATAAAGGACAAATGTTTCTCCATGGCGATAGGCTCACTTTTAAAAAGTGAGCCTTTGAAATTATTGGAAGTCTATTTGTAATAAATCGACACGGTGGTTATGGACTTAGATCAACTTGAGGCAGCCTCTGTGGCTGACATGCCCAGCTCCTCCAGGCAGCACTGTAAGTTGCTTGTCCTTCCAGGGTGATGATTTTCTCTGATCTTCTTTGTGATAAGGGCTGCCACATCTTCAATGACTGTTGGCCACTTCACAGGGGACGTGCAGAACGTCTGGAGAAGTTCCATGTTGGTCTTGGTTGCCATTCCAAACAGGAAGCGCATAAAAATGTCCAGTTTGCCATCTTTGCACTGCAGGCTTCTGTCCAACGCGCTCTTGTACAGCTCCATCATCTTGTGCCCCTTCAACAGCCCCCTGACCCTGTGTTTCAGTGGCTGCTCGAAAATGTTCTTCCCCTGGTTTCTGAAGGAGAGAAACACGTAAAGGGCAGCCAGATACTCCTGCATGGTGGGGTGGATGAAGCTGAGGACTTTCTCCGACAGCAACACAAATGGTTGTGTGATGTATTGTGTGCAAAGCCCGCTGTTAGTCACCGCCTCTTCATCACTGATTCCAACCTCCTTCCAGTCAGACTTTGTGATCTTGAACTGGCCTCGTTCCAACATGCTAAAGGCCAACTTCCCCAGTTTTAAGAGGAAGTCTCTCTCTCTTTCTGGGTCAAGATCTGGAGCTCTGAATATGCGATGCTGACGTGTGAGTGTTAGCAGCAGCTTTGTGTACATGTGGGTGATGCTTCGGGGCAGCTCTGCATGCGTCCCCCGCTTTGTAAAGATGCACTGGCATTCATCAGCCACAAGCGAGCAAAACAAGGGCAGGTGGCACATGATGCGGAGCGTTTTCAGAGAATCGATATATGCGATCACACGAGCTGCTTGATCTGGATCCTGAAATCTTTTCCGGAAGTACTCGTTCTTATCAGGATCACGGAAACCTCGTAGCTCCATCTCGTCATAATGTGCATCCCAGGGAATGCAACACTTCACTAGCGGGCGAGAAGTGACGATGAAGAGGCCGCGGTAGAGAAGCCTCGCTCTGAGGAGGTTGACTACAATGACGTTCAGAGTGGTGGAATCCGTGTGGTCACAGAGAAGCTCGGTGTGCTGAAAGTCAAGGTTTCCGTTGTACTCGTCAAGTCCGTCAAAGACAAACATGATTTTGCAGTCCTCAGATCTATATTCCTCATCCCTCAGTTTTTTTGTCTCTGGGTAGACTGTTTGTATGATTTCCAACAGGGAGACGTTACAACCCTCGAACTGTTTGAGTTCTCTGAAAGTAAAAGGAAACAGGAAAGACACGTGTTGATGTGAACGCTCTTCAATCCAGTCCAGGATCAGTCGTCTCATCGCCGTAGACTTCCCTGACCCAGCCACTCCTGTGATAAACATAGACTTCAAGTTGGTCTGCTTCAGCTTCTCAGGGCTCAAAATATCCTTTGTAGAAAGCAGTTTCCCTTCTTCCCGGTTGCTGTCCAACTTCTCTATAGTCAAGACCTCATGTTCTATATTCGGACCATTGTCACACGTTGTGGTCATGTAGAGATTGGCAAAGTTGTCATCAAAGGACCTCCTCTCTCCCTGTGTGTTCAAATCCTCACATGCTTTGCCGTATTTCCTCTTCAGAGTGTCGCTTAAATCATGACGCACCTCATCTGAAAAAAAAAAAAGAGTAAACATTATTATCTTTGTCTGTTTGGTCCCTTAACCTGAAATCAAATAAACAGTAAAAAAAAACAAAAAAACATGGAGATGCAGGAGCTGACTTACTTCTGATGCACAAAGTCTGGAGATAATTAACCAACTTCTTAAACCCGATTTCCTGCAGAAGGGTTTTGGTGATCTGCATAGAGACCTCCAGGCTGTAACACTCGAGAAGCCGGTCCACGAGGTCCAACAAGTCCATGCTTTGTGGATGAGTGTTAAAAGACTGTGGGTAACGCTTCCACAGCATCCCCTTGAATTTCTGTATGTCACCTTTTGACAACTTCCCAAGGGTGTTACAAATAGCCTGATACCAGAAGAAGGATAAAAGTCACTGCTGTGGTTTTAGACCAGAGGATATTTTCTGCTTTAAACTTATAAAGAAAGACCAACCTTTAAAGTGAATGCCACTGTCAGAGAAGGATGCCTTATCTCATTTGGGTCTGTCATTAACTCAGGTGTGTCCGTGAGCTCCGAGGCAGCTTCCTCTTCGGCTTTATCCCTGGTGAGGCCGCTGTGGAGAATTTTAAGAATCTTTAGGGTCAGTCTAACATGTAATCAAACTCTGAAACATTTTAAATCAGCGTGAACTGGTTGTATTTCTTACCTTGGCTTTCTCTTCTCACAGTCGTCACTGTCAAAGGAGTAGCAGCTGGAAAATGAATCTGCTCTGTTCAGCTCGACCCTAAAACCAAGCAGCAGTAATGCTTCAATAATTATTTTAGGCACAACAAAAAGTATATACTTAGGTACAGAGGCCAGTTTAAGAAAGCAGGTTTAGTGCAAACTCATTTCAGAAAGGGAGGTCACTCAAACCTGAGGAAAAACCTCTTCAAGAAAGAGAGGTAACATACACCCTTTTCACACATACGGAAATCTCATGAAAAACTCCGGAGACTTGGCTACCCGGAGGGTCTTTAGGTGTGTGAACGCAAACAGCCACATTTTTTTCGCGCGGACTTTACCCAGAGTTTCTCCGGCCACACCCCTAGTGTTTTTTCCGCAGAAAGTCCGAGTGAGCTGATGTCTGAACGCGGCCGAATATACTCCAGAGATTTCAATTTCAGCCAATAGAAAGATAATGACGTTTATATACGGTGACTGCCTAAAGTGTCTGCATGCGACCACTACGATCTCCGTGCACGTAATTAAACGGCTGGATTATGTTTTCTGTTCGTCAGTATGTCTATAGTCAGAAGACTGTAGAAGCGCTATACAAGCTCAAATCCATTTACCATTTACCATCTATGCTAAATGAGACAGTGAAGAGCAGGTTTTCTTCAATTAACCCCAAGTTTCCCTCCATCTCCCCCTTGGTATGTCTGCATAAGAATTTCTGGTTTGAGAGGGGTGCAGAACTACGACCTCTTTTTGAGGCCAGTGGCCATTGTGAATTGTAGTATTGGGGCTATATTCATGTTGGCTTTTTGATTGAGTTGATTGAACAAACTCAAATCAGCTTTGCTGGAACCTTAAACTCAGAGTTTTTCTATTTTTTCAATCAGTTTTCTAAACTGAGAGTTTGTTAAACCTTCTTTCCGAAACAGGCACCAGCTGTAAGCTACTCTATTTGTGTGTGTGTGTGTGTGTGTGTGTGTGTGTGTGTGTGTGTGTGTGTGTGTGTGTGTGTGTGTGTGTGTGTGTGTGTGTGTGTGTGTGTGTGTGTGTGTGTGTGTGTGTGTGTGTGTGTGTGTGTGTGTGTGTGTTTGTTTTACCCTGTGGAGCATCTGTCCTCGCCCTCCATGTTGTCTGAAGTCTCCTCACTTGTCATTGAACAGTAACTGAGAGCTGGAGGCGAGGCCTGGACCACATGATGCCTGAAACAAAAAGGATGACAGAATGACGCTATAATTACTTAGGGGCCCCAAAAAAAAAAAAAAAAGAACAGCAGTAGCCAGATAAGATAATTAAAATCTTATAAAGGACTGATAAGTATTAATGTACAGACACAGGCTTGAAGTTACCCCTTTCTTTCCATGGCTTTGTGTGATTCTGAGAATTCTCATACTTCATGTTGAACATCAAGGCTTTTTGAATGACGCACTTTATTTTTTCCAACATAGATTGGACCATAAATATGGTACAAGACATAGACGGATACAGATAGCCCCCTCAAATCTGCCTCATATATTTCTGTAAGAAGATATTAAAAAAACTAGAGAACCAGATTCTGTTTTTCCATGACATGCTTTTAGCACCCATCAAATGTAGTTGGTCAGTGGAATCAGTAGACTTGTTTTCATCAACAGAACATGACAACAGGCCAGATAAAGTAAGAGAGAAAAAGTTCTTCAATAAGTCCACTAGGGAGAACTACTGAGCTGCCGTCCCACCACTGTTTCTGCATTTGATTGTTGTTGTCCTGCCACAAATATTTCAGAATAATTCTATTAAACTACTTCACTGCAGTGACAGAGTGATCTCAGTACCAGTGGGTAGCTTCCATTGGACTTGGCCCCAGGTCCAGCGAAGGTCTCCTCTCAGGGATGTAGAAAAGATCCTCATCTTCTACATATTCATTCTCTCCTCTAGCAGACACTGCTTCTCCTATCGAGGAGGCTTCCACCTCCATTTCAGCGTCGTCCATCACACCGTAGAAATGGTCAGCCATTGACTAACATGACGGGTATTCACATCGTATTTTCCAGGGCTGATCCCTCAGGACGTTAAGCAGTCCATACCTGCAGAATAAACACACGCATATCAGTTCTCAAATTCTCTGTCCGGTTATTTTAAGAAGTACTTAACCAGATGTTCAGGTTTCTGCTGGTGGATTCTTCATCAGTCTGCGTCTTCACTGTGTTATGAAAGTGATGTACCAAACCAACGGTAACGATAACAAAACACTCTTAGCTTTCTGTACTTTGACTTTTGCAGTATGAAATACAAAAGCGGACTCAATTCAAAGTTCAATGTACAAATCTAAATAACTACATCCAGTCACCATCAAACACAAAAGCTTAAACAAATGTGCTTCAATACAAGTTGAGGAACATTCAAATCGAAGGCTCAGTCTTCACATACCAGCAGCAAGTTCATCATCTTGCAAAGAAAGATACTAGACATCCGAACATTAGAAACCTTTTAATAAGAAAAAAGAACATTTATAAATTGTCTAATCACTCGGCTGTCTTTTGGGTTTGACATTTTCTGCTTTTTAGCATCAATAATGTCTGCTGTCTGTGCTTAGGTTTGACAAGATCAAGGTTTTAAGTTGATTTTGTACCCTTTTTTAAATAAATGCAAGCAGTAACTACTTTATACAGCACACAAAATAGAGCACAAATAATTAAGCAATTAAAGCAAGATCACAAACAACAACACAATCAATATTTAGCAAAGTAGTGTAAAGTCATACTCTTCGGTGCTAATAATATTATTATTATTATTGAAACATAGGTTTACAAAGTGCTTTGACAGACAAAGAAAATGAGGAATATAACAGATTAAGCACCAATAGTCATTAATATTTACAGTCTACAGGTCAAACAGAGACAGTAACCTACAAACTTTAAAAAAAAAAAAGAAGTAAATCACAAAATGCAAAAGCAAAAGATCAGCAGAATAAATGCATACGAAGGATTAAAGTAGAATCAACAGGTCTGACAAGGTAGTATAAGTTCAAGCAAAACAACTGAAGTGAATAAAAGAATAAAAGCAGTAACAATGACACTAGCGTTAAGACACAAGACGATTCAAGATTATAAGAGGACTTAAAGATGACATGACAGAAAATAAAAACACAACAAAAGGTAGATTAATAAATAGCTAAATAAAAAGCAATAAAGGCGTTTAAGAGCACCACATCAGAAGAAGTACTAGAAATATGGATAATGCTTTTACTCATACCAAAGTGCAGATACTGATATGTGGAGATACTTTGCAGACTTAAAACACTCTGTTCCTGCATCACCACCATGTCTCTCTCATGTATAAACCATACACTGTAAATATTAGGTATAAACATGATAAAAACTGTAGCTGTCTATCAAGTAGTCTGACTGACGGGCCGCGTTCAGCTATGTTTACGTTAATGATTTGACATCTGCTGAGGCCTTCAGATGTCGTTCCACAAAACCACGAACAGAAGACAAATAAATAAAAGTCACGCCATAAATACAACACAGTATGACTTTCAAAACCGTCAAACATGTGAATGTAGCCACATCCAATACATTATTCCTACTTTGGGGCTGCTGTTCACTGCCAAAAACTAAATGTTAACTTACCACGGTCAGTGCAGGAATAACTTCCTGGGGAAGTTGTGACTGTCAGTCAGGTGAGCAGCGGAACCGTAGTGAATCATACTCTGCCCCCTAGAGGTCTGGAGGAGTGATAACATTCAGTCTACAGTGTCGCAGATAGCAATTTAAAGTGAGAATACCAAAATGAATAGCTGTTTGATAATAAGATCTACAACAAGCTAAATGTATATATGACTCTGCAGTACATGCCACAAATAAATAGTCGTAGGCCCAATTTAGCAAGGTTACAACCAAAACCTGAATGCAGAACCAAGTAAAGAGTCATTATCCTTTTTTTTTCCTCATTCCTTTCTATCTTATAAGGTGGGGAGTTACAACAAAGGTCCCTTTTTTGCAGGACAGCAGATCTCCTACATGCCCACAATGTACCTTCCAGGCTGAAAGTTTTGAATGTGTACATTAGTAGCTAAATTACATAATTTTAACTAACTTTCCCAGGCACCATGGAAGGCTTTGGTCTTTAAAACATTCTCACATGCAGCAGTCACTGTAAACATACACCATGATTGAAAGAACAATGGGTTTTCCTTTTAATTTCTGAAAAGGTGATATATGTTTTTGTATTGTTTTTGTTTGCACTTATATAGCATCCCTTGGCAAGGACATCTTGGTTTATAGCACTGCATTTATACAAGGCTGATACTGTATGTTATAAGTGTTTATGTGCTTGTAATTCCCTTCAAACTGCAAAAAAAATGATCATAAAGTTAAAATATAATTACAGCTTTTTTATTCATTCCTATTTCATTATAGGTTAAACTCATTAACATTGATGGGTGAAATTCAGCCACATCATCAACTTCACATTATGAACTCCTGGTGCCTGCATTCATTTATGATTATTGACTATGTTGAATGTCAGAGCTGCTCTGTTGGGGTTTCTGCTGTATTGATCCCAACAACCTGCTTGTTTTATATTGTTTGCAGCCTTTTTTTTAAATGTCAGAAAAATTACAGGGCCATGTATTTTCAAATGTTGTATTTTCTAAATCACATCCTGCTGTTTGTTTGATCTCATACTTTCTGTCAGTGAAACAGATGCTTTTCTCTTGCTATTTTGCACATTTTAATAATGTATTTATGCTGCAGAATAATCAATTGTTATGCTGGGTGAAAGTGTATAGACCTTTTAAGAAATGTTTAGCTAGAAACATGAATTAATTACTTAAAAACAAACAATTAGATTAATTAACAAAAACACATTAAAGCCCCTAGGCTTATAACATTTCAAAAACCATGTTATTAATTATATTTAGGGTTGACATTCAGTTTAATGTAGTATATGGAGAACAGTGAATGAAATGAGTATTGACCGAAACACTGAAACTGTTTACCAGTAGGCTACTCCAATGGGCAACATGGTAAAAGCGAGGCGCTGCAAGCATCCTTGTCTCGTTAGTGACCGCTACACTGAGCTTTGTGTGACGGAGGCGTGAGCAGCGACAAAGACGGCAGGAGAAAACACTGGCATGTATGAGGGGTGATTAGTGCCCAGGCAATTAGAGGTTAAGCAAAGGAACTACTGTAAGGCCTACCATTGTGTAAAATGGATTTATCAAAGGCTTCCCAGAGAGCACAAACCGGGATTTCAATGTTGAAATGATGTTGAAATCAAGGTGAAATTGGGTCGGTATGTTTTAAAATTAATGTTTCAGAAAACACAACTGAAAGAGTGCACTTTTGCTCGGAAATAATTTTGCAGTGTTAGATCTTATCTACATAAAGACCCTATGCAATTATTATTTTTTAGCTTTTTTCATTCAAACCTTATAAATATAGGCTCATTCATAGTTTGTGCTTGTGAACAAATTGTGATAGAGGTAGATTTCCCGCGGAAATTTGGTTGATAGACGTTTAATCAAAAAGTCATTGAAAAACATTCACTTTCAACCCAGTTTTGAACATCTTTCAATGGAAATATGCCGTTTACATTAATTTGTTCATGCATCCTTGGAAGTAAGGTGATAGACATCTAGAGGGCCATCGGCATGGACATGATAGCCCTGATAATTCAGTCTCCTCTTGCTCCTCTTCAGCTCCAACCTCTCGCCCAATAAGGTCACATCTGCCTTAAAAAAACAGCAACAAAAATATGGCATTGCCATAATTACAAATTTGTTATGAATGCTACAACAACATGACAAAAGCCTTCGACATCAAAGTTACTTTCTTAGGGCGTGTGTCCACAGACAGTTCTTTTTGTGCAGGAAAACACTAATAATCTCTGTGTCAGACCACATCCTTTTTATTTTTTATTTTTTTTATTTTTTATTGAGTACACAGATAAAACATACAACTTCAGGAGATGCTTTTTTAGTCACACTTGTCCATTTTCTCATGAAATCCTAACATGCCATTTTACCAAACAACTACACTTCCATATCCATACATGTATACACACACCCTTTCCTTCATACCTACATTAGATCGACATAAACTTACATACATGCATATAACCACACATATGACATCTTTTTTCAATCCTTTTTCCTTGATTGACTAACAACTTCTGCAAACATATTGGCAATTTGCTATAATAGACAAGTGCATTTAAAGTAAAATAAATAAATAAATACAATTAAATTTAAAATACAAATATTAAGAGGTGACTAAAGCCCAGGCATCACTGGGGCCCATTTTGCATCAAATCTATTTGTTTTCAGCTGTAATCTGGCTGTGATTTTTTCAGCCAGGATGCTGTTATTGTTTTCTTTGCTATTAATAGCAAAATTCTAAGCAAGGAAATCAAGTCTCTGTCCATCTTGGTATCAGGAGCTATACCTAAAATAAAGAGTGAAGGGTCTAAGATTAGATTGATGCCCAGAATCTGACTTGTTTCTTTTTGTACATTTTTCCAAAAATCTTCTGTCAGACCACTTTTAACCAGCTCTCATTGTTGCTAGGTAACGAAAGCAAACCTCTGCCTTACCTCAGTAATGTCCGTTAGATGTGTTTAAGATAGCTCAGTGTGCTTAATATTTGCTTTAATTCAAGGAAATATCACCAAGAAAACGTGAACACAATGTAAAGGAGGCATGTCCTGGCATCAGCAGCATTTCTACCTCTGGAAATTTTGGCCTGTAAAAGACAAATCAGACTAGCATCTCCTCCGCCATTGTTGTTGACAAAGCTGGTGTTGTTGGTCGGTGAGATAGAGGTGACGTTGACGAGTGCGGCGCTGTTCCAAAAGTTGAACTGCTTTCAATAGAGAGCGCTGGGAGCACTGAGAGCGTAGAGATGCCGTGGGCATTTTAGCGCTCAGGGCGTATAGAGCACTGAAAACGCTGAACATTGGTTTTGTATTGAAAACCATTGGACTGTGGACACAGGGCCGTAACAGTGATCCATTTGTTTCCTAAGTCAGTCAATGCTATTATTGTTTTCTTAATGGGAACATTCTGTACTAAAATATGTGGGCTATATCTACAAACATGAGGCCTACACAAAATGCTTCCCATGTTTTACATCCAACACAGCCAGATATAAATACTAATGACTTTTTTAAAAATATGCACAGTTTCCTAAAAACAGAAAGTGGAGCAACTTCTGTTCTGTTGTTTGCTGTTGACAAGTTGCTCGCTTGCGTTTGCAGATTGCGCTGATGGTGGTTAACTTGGAATCATCTGAACCTCCGCAGCAGAGATATCGTGACTTCAGCTGAAGGTTTGGTGAGTGATATAATTGTAATACAGAAAAAAATACCTGCGCTCCCTGCACACACACACACCAGATATGGATGGTGACGTTTACATGATCCTTAACAGTTTTTGTCAGCCAGCTCAACTGGGCTTCAACTTTCTGGTTGGATAATAGCTTTTGTGGAAGGTGCCACACTACTCAATAAATCAAAGAACTAAGCTACTGAAAAAATAACTTCAGGAAATAGTAATGGTGCCACAATAGAGTTAGTATAGGGCTACTTGCAGGACTCTAATTAACTGCCATTAAGACGCATCTCTTCCTCAGAGTTCTGCCTCTTTGTGGCACAAACCACCCCTCATACACCCACACACACACTCCGCACGGTGAGGGCTGTGACTCCATGTCTGTGTGTGAGGGAGGATGCTCAGAGCGAACCCAACCTTCCCAGACAGCAGTGTGAAGTGACAGTCCATGCGTTGTTCTCTCTGCTCTGGATGCTAACTGGGATGTATTTTGGAAGGGGGGGGTCGGGCAACAGTGACCCAGCAGCATCAGCGCCACTGAGCCTGACATGAATGACAAGTAAAGATCTCTTTCAAGCGAGCAAACAGCACAGGAATGTGCTTAAGTCTGCTGGGCAACACTAAGGCTCTTCAAAGAGACATTTTGGACCTAGCTCGGTTTGTTTGTAAACACCCAGCACAAAACAATCGAGGGAGATTAGATTTGCATTCTATTTTTTATTTTATTTTCTTCTTTCTTTTTTCTTTTTGTTGCTTTTAGAGGCGGGAGTGGGCTTTGCTGGGAGGGCTCTTGTCTTCTTTTGTGAGGCGTGAACAAGACAAACTTCTAACATGGCATTGGTTATGGAGCCTGTAAGCAAGTGGAGCTCAAGTCAAGTCGTGGACTGGATGAAAGGTAAGGGAGGCTTCAAGCACAATAACAGCAAAATGCATTGCATATTTTGCATTTAATGAAATGGGGAGTCGGAATGCATCTGAACTCGGATTCACTCGAGATGCAAAAAGAGAGAGAGAGAAAAAAAAAACACCTGCTGAGCCTCAGGGCTCTCTGCCTCATCGGCGCGACGCTTTAAAGGCTTTTAATTACAACAGAAAATCAATACATCGATTCCCAGGCAGGCAGTTACGACACACATACGACTTGTCCTTTCAAGACAATATGTTCTTTACATCCTTTACGTCTTTAAATATCGCTAAACAGGTTGAAAAGCTCCATTGTGTCCTCCGGTTATTGTTAACGCGAACGCCGCGGAGATCCAGGAATAAACCTGCACACTAAAAACGAGCCCTCTGTGAGGATATGGGGTCAGAGGTTGTGTTTGGGAATAACGGGTTCAAAGTTAAAAGAGATAGGTTTGAATGTGTATTGTGTAAAAAAGAAAAAAGGAAAAAGCCTTCTTGGTGTACGATTTAAGAGCTTGTGCAGCCATCTGTGCGAATTGTCCATCCACATATGATGGTACAAGTCATTAAAAAGTCACAGCTGACTTGCAACAGCATCATGAAACCCTGGCTTACATAGGTTTTTTTTTTTTTTTAAAACCTTATGGTGCACTGAATTAGAAAGTTATACCCACCTAGTTATTTATATTCAAGACACACATTTACACTAATTTAGTCTTGACGTAAACATTTTTTAATCTAAATTTCAGCATCTCTTCAAATTTTGGGAACATCCTGCAGAGAAAGGAGCTGGTCATACTCGTGCATTTAAAGCATCAAATGTGGCACTCAAAGGTCAACCTTAGAAAGAAAACTGATGTCATAAGGCCTGGACACATGGGCTATTTCCAGTTGGCAAGATTGAATATGAAGTTGTCAACATGAATTAAGTCTTATCACGCATTTGATTTGGTAGCTGTTGTTTCTGTGAGACGTTCTGTCTGCTCATTCAGTCCCCCTAAAGACCTGTATATCCCACACAAGCCTATCAGGAGACTTTCAGGGCAAAGATAACTCATTATTTTGTCTGTTTGCATTGCAAAGTAATTACCACGGTTAGTCTGCTGCTATCAAATACAAACCGTAAGGGGAAGTGTTCAGCTCAGGAGGGGGAATGCCTTCACAGTCTGCAATGTTTGTCTGTTTGTTTGTAGTGCTGTAATTGTTTTTTGTATGTTGTTTCGTATAGAGCCGCATGCTCACATGACAGGCCAAAGCCCTTTAGAGATGCTCTGGATGAAACACACGTCTTTACTGCCTCAACAAACACGAACACACCCACAAACACACACATATCCTTACTCATAACTCTAAGCCTGAAGGCCCCTTTCTGCTGGCTCAGACATATTATGATGGCAAAGATCGAACCTCTCTGAGTCTCAGTCGTGTGTTACAAATTGTACCTGAATCCTGGAAACACGGGTTGTTTTTGACAGAAAATGCATGTGAACAGCTTCATGGAGGATTTATAAACACAAAGGAGACTCAGGGGTGACAGGATATGGAGAAAAAGCGAAGACAGAACGACCACAACAGTTCACAGGAGATCTGGGAAGATGTGTAAATAAGCTGAGAGCGCGAGTGAGAAAGGCAGGCAGCGAGAAGCGGAGATTGGATATGAGAGAGAGGGCTCTTCAGCGTCCCACATCTGACAAGTGGAGCAGAGACGATTCTGCGCCCAGAGCCCGGTAATGGTAATTTAAAGTGAGGGACAGAGTGGCACTGGGAGACACTGAGGGGGAGGAGAGGAGGAGGAAGGAGGAGGGGGTTTTCATTCTTATTTTACATCCCTTCACTGCTCCTAAAGACTGGCACCGTTTTGCCGTTATAGAGTTCCATTATTAGCTTAACCCCTCTGTGATGTCACTAGAGGCCAAACAGGGGCGCCCTGTGACCTTCCAACATTCCCGCTCTCCAACCCCCCTATCCCCATCCTCGTCTTGGGTAGTGTTTTGTTTGCGTAAGACGCCCTTTCCCAGCTGTGACAAAGCTGCTTTAAAGAGGAGATTGTCAACACAAAAGAGAAAGAAATCCAGCTTTGATGAGGATTTTTTTTTTTTCATGGTAGCTGAGCAAACGCATGATTGTTGCATTTTGGAATTGTTTTATAAATTTGATTTTATTTTTTGAAGCACAGACCAAATGCTCAGGCTTAGTATAATCTCTGTTCTCTTCCTGACTTCATGCATTATCATAATTCATGTTTTAAAAAAAAAAGTATATCAGTTTCATATTTGTGCTCTTTCTTGCACACCAACCCTCACACACACACACGCACACACACACACACACACACACACACACACACACACACACACACACACATCACTCACAGTGACCAATGACAGGTCAGATTAAGCATAAATCCTTTCTTACAACGCTAACAGTCTTAAACGTCTCTCTTACCTCACATTACCAGTGGATTATCGAGCTTGGAGATCAGGATGTGTCAGAGCTGCGCTTTTAATTTCTCTTCATCCTGCCTGATAATCTGAGCCGAGCATAAAATGGACAGGAACATTGATGCAGCGGAGATTACCTAGTGCAATCAGTGAAATAGACTCCAACCGAAAAGGGCTTTCTGGGAAATGATGCTATGAAATAAGATAAGGCATTTCGTTTTCAGAGGGGGGAATCATCAAACTTCAAGCATTCATACAAAAAGCATGTCAGTCTATATAGCTGTCTCATTCTTTGATGTGAGTCTCTACACTATAACGTCCCATTAAAATAGTGCTATATGATGTGAAATGTAAAATTCTGTGGGAGTTTTTGAATCAAAAAAAGCAGCAGTCACTTTGTGGAGCATGCCCTTTCTTTGCTTATTTCTTTATTGCTCCTGCAGTCAGAGAGAGATTCCCTGCCAAAAACCTTTTGCTTGATGGTTTCTATGGAAACATGGGAAATACTTCATTGACATAATGAGTCTCAATTAACTAAGTAAAGAGGCGGATTAGTTCAGCCTTTAAGTTTTATGCAAAACCACTAAACTCCCTATGTTTCCTCTCCACCGCTTGGCTGCCAGCTGAACTCGGTCTGAATGCCTGATCAGGTTCAGACACAGCACTGAGGCACATGTACATGATTGGTCCACAGCAATGAAAAGGAGAGATGAGCAAAGGGTTGTCCGTGTTTGTTTGTGTTTGTGTGTGTGTGTGTGTGTGTGTGTGTGTGTGTGTGTGTGTGTGTGTGTGTGTGTGTGTGTCCTCTCCCACTCTCCCACTGAGAAGATGGAAACAGACCGGGTGTATAGAAAAGCCTCACAAAGGCTACTTTCTGTGTCTCTGATGGTAAAAGGATAGCAGGTTAGCATTCAGAGCACTTACTAGTGACATCCAGCTATATGTGTATCAATGAGTGGAAGCTGGATTGATACAAACAATACCTAGTCTATTAGATTTTTTTTAAAGAAATATCAGATTAACTGTCATTTTAAAAGAAGTAAACTGCCCAAAATGAAAAGTATTGAATGCTTAAATGATTAAATAAATGAATTTGCTGTGCTGCTTACCAGTCACCAGTCATTAGGCTACATTAAACCCCATTACTGTAAGTCTGTAAATGTTTGAGGTGTATGGATGAGGTGTGGATGGTTGATTATTAATTAATACATGTGAATGAAAATAAGTGGCTTTTTAGGTGTTTGTAACATGACACAATGCATGTGGTATGAACATTGTTTCATCTGTATAAGGAGAACATGGCGCCATTAGCACATAAAGAGTTCTAATGAAATAAACACGACCATGTGTGTAGAGTTTGTCTGGTGACACACAAAGAATCAGTTTAAAATCCATCGACGTCGTTTGTGATGCTCTTGTTGAAGATTGTATTCTTTTGCATGAGGTCCTGGTGTTTGTACACTATATTGATGTATATGTTAGCACAGTTCCTATAGTTTCAAACCTCAGCTTAGACAGTGAAAACCACCGACTCAGACGGGGGTTGCAGAATCAGTCAGTTTGTTTTACTCTGCTGCTCTTCATCAACTGCTTCACTGAGCGACTTCACACCTGCTGCTGCAGTGAGAGATGTAAAAGAAGCCAAGCGCAGACGCACGACATCCCTTTTTAGTTTTAAATGCACCTCAGGACTGTTGAGGAGGGGGGACCTGTCAGTTTTTCTTCTCTGACACACAGACTGTTTCACACTTTGGGACATAACAAAATACAACCTGTGCTCACACTTCAGAGATTTTACAGCACAGATTCTGGTGAGAAAAACAGCTCCATCAGAACACATTATGCAAATAGACGAGAAAAATCGGGAAGTGTGATGCTACTAGGAAATAAGACTTTCACCTTGTTGTTGTGCTGTCCTAAAAGTTTTCCTGTCGTCCTTGTGTGGTTTTTCTCAGGCCTGGATGACTGCCTGCAGCAGTACATCAAAACCTTCGAGAAGGAGAAAGTAGGGGGGGACCAGCTGCTGCGGATCACCCACCAGGAGCTGGAGGATCTGGGAGTGTCCAGGATTGGCCACCAGGAGCTCATCCTGGAGGCTGTGGACTTATTGTGCGCTCTGGTCAGTCCACACTTCTCACTCTGTCTTCCCACAAAACCGTGTTTTCACTTCAAAAAGTCCCAGAGCACTAGTGTTAGATGAAACATTAATCCCACATTTTGGGCGTCCTCATCTTAGAAACTGACTAGATCCTCAACAAAATATTTACTGTAAACAAACTATAACACCCAATTATTTAGGTCCTGAAAAACGGACTCTTTAGATAATGATTTATTGAATGTATTTCTGTATAAAGTTATCTTAAACAAAGTCTCTTAATCAATCAAAGATGTTTTTAGAAATGAGTGAATATTTGGTGTTTTGTCGAAATTAACACAATATTTTCAAAGATATTAAAAGGGTTCAAACTTCACAACAGGGAAACTGATTGAATTTCACTAATTTTTCAAACATCACAGCAAGTCTATCAGAGTTAATAATCTGGCTGGGATTGCCTCTACAGGCGAGCCTCCGTGCTGTCATTAGTGCTGACGTGGATTAAAGACTCCTCTGGAACTGATTTCTGCTCCTTTCTCAGAAAAAAAACAAGTTTTGTGTGTGTCAGCACGGCGTACTGCGTCTCTGATGATTGAGTTAACATGCTGCAGAAAACAGTGGAAGGCTAATATTAATACAGCTGGTAACAAATCAGCAGCCTCAGATCTGTGTCACCAAGCGATTCAGGTCGGCAGGATCTGTGAGAGAAACCATTGTGTTGTAACTTCCAGTTCAGGACACACTTTTCCCCTGTGAAGCAGAGTAAATCCTTATACATTATGTACATACAATGTTAAAATGACTGAATACATACAACATCCTGAAAAAAAAAAAAAAAAAACGGTTTAGTATGGAGCTTTTTTTCTCCAAGAGAATAGCATTTATCAGATTTTTCATATTATTCCACTTGTTGATAAATATTCCCCCTTTCCCCTAAGATTACCCAGTCCTTATACCACAACAGGAAATTTTTAAGCAGCAGCAGAAAACAAAAACGAAGAAAAGAAAAAGAGCACATGATGCAAATGTTGCAAATGTAGTTTTTCTTTTTCACAGAAAAAAATACAGTGCAAACAGTGCACATAACGTTGAACATGTGATTGCACATTTTAAGCTCCTTATGTTATGCATATCAGTATTAGAAGTTTTTTTTTTAAATATGGATGCGCATAAGCGGTTGGAGAGATAATTTTTTGCATTATCATGTACAAAATAGTAAATCTGGAAACCTTTTCTTTAATTATTCATTGCCCCGTTATATTTCTCTGATGTCGTGGTTTGTTAGTTGTGAAAGTTGACTATATATATCAAAAGGGGTTAAAACTAACAGTTCATATATTTATTGAAGAATCTGCAGCTTATTTGTCAATGGTCTTTTGTAGATGAAATGTCAGAAAAAAAGGGTGAAATGCCTGCTGTGATAAAAGCCTGATATGACGTCACTAAATATTTGATATGACAAAATGAAACAGAAAAAGACAGCCTATCCTCTTATTATATTTTATTATATGCTGAAATCAGCCACTATTTGGTATTTTTGTTTGAAACTTAACTTGAAAGATGAATGAATTTAAAATATCATTTTAAAGTGGTATTAAAGCTGAACATTTAGACGATACTAAGAAGCAACAGGATGTATGAGAAGTAGACGTGATGAAGAGAGGGTGGCAAAGAGATGAAGATGTGTTGGAGAGAAACACAGACAGAGAGGATGGAGCTTTACTGGACCGAGGTCACAGATGCAATCTGAATCTAAAGTCCTCTCATCCCACACCGCCGCACGAGGGGTAGCGGGGGTTTCAGCCCCAAAGCTCCTTATGTAACTGGGATTTAGTCGAAAGTCTCTCCGGCGCTGCTGTATTAAATATGATTAGTGGCGCTACTGCCGTGCTTTCCCAAGAAAGTGTGACGTGACGACGCCCACAGGCCTCCACGTGCAGTTCTGTGTTCAGGATAATGAGTGTTGTTCTTTCTCTGCACATGCAAAGTAACAGCTGGAGGGGAGCAGGATGGGTGGATGGGTCACTGGTTTCAGTCCTCTCACTCGTTTCTCATATGAGCAGCATCCTCTGTAGTGACACAAGGTTGGCTCTTCTGTCAGTGCTCTTTTATTTACAGAGAAGCACCACACTGCAGAAATTCTTGGAAGGCATTGCTTTAAAACAAACAGAGACAAACTGGTCAAACAAAATGAATTTACTCTCCTCTCTCCTCTCTCCTTTAGAATTACGGGCTGGAGACTGAGAATCTGAAGACGCTCTCGCACAAGCTCAACGCGTCTGCCAAGAACCTGCAGAACTTCATCACAGGCAGGCGGCGCAGCGGACATTATGACGGCCGAGCTACGCGCAAGCTGCCCAACGACTTTCTCACCTCCGTGGTCGACCTGATCGCTGCGGCCAAAAGCCTTTTGGCATGGCTGGACAGGTGAGAATTGCAAAAAGAAGTACCTATGCTTTTACAAGCATGTGTAGACAGATTTGTACACATGTAAACACAGACATAGCTGTTCACAACAGACGCATATGATGCCCCCAACTGAACAAAAAACTAACAGAGGATTTTTTTTTTTTTTTATGCTAGTTTCCACAGAATCCATGAATTCAAGTTTTTTACATCTCCAAATTTCATGATCATTTCTGACCTACAATGCTACAGTAGCAGAACTGGTTTTGTCAAATATGGCGTCCAATTTATGCCAAATTTTGATAAAAGTTTCCTAGGCCCTAAAGTGCAATCCTTTCCAACAAAAATGATAACCTTGCATTTTGGTCCAATTAAATATATATAAAAGTCTTTATAAAGGAATGAGTCAGTATTTTGAACTTGCATCACTCACTGGTTCCTGTAGTGTGTTTTCAGGGATTTCACTGTGTTTTTAGCACATATAGACCCGTTTTGTCTTTATGTCATGTCCATACCCAATGAGCTGACAAGAACAGATGAGTAAAGGCTTATATAAGGAGACTTTAACAAGATGGCCAAAAAGGCACTGAGCAAGTCTATTTATATGTTGCTTTATCCCTTCCTTCTCTGTGGGATTCTGCCAATGTGTTTGCGTCTGCTAGTGTTTGTGTGTGTATTTGTGTGTGTGTGTGTGTGTGTGTGTGTGTGTGTGTGTGTGTGTGTGTGTGTGTGTGTGTGTGTGTGTGTGTGTTTGTGTGTGTGTGTGTCTTCGCTGAATACGGAAGTTCAAAGCAGACAGCATTCAAAAGAAATAGAGCGAATCACTGTTTCATTTCCAAAAATCGTCATCTACATAATCCAACACATCGACACTTATTGAAATTCAGTATCAAATGTTTCATCTTCATGTTTGAAGACGTTGTAGTTGACAGGAATTACACTCTGTAGTCTCTGACTCTGGAGGCATGCTTAATGTGGGAGAGAGTTGTGGAAATTAAAAATTGAATGTGAATTGTAGGCTGTGTGTATTTAACCTTCACACGGTCTTGGCTTATAATTCTCTGATGAGTGTCACTGTTTAATATCCTTATTTGTAGCTGCATTCATATTGTTTCGTATTTTATTTGTTATACTGTGTATGCAAGGAGCATTCAAGTAGTTCTCTAAAATCTGACTTTACACACACTAACTCTTCTATTTGTGTCTTGTAGTAGGTAGACATTGTGTGTTTAGACATGTTCCCACTTTTTTACCAATGATTTAGTCTCAGAGGAAGAATGATCTAATGGTTCATTCCAGGTGCTCCTTCTTTTTCAGATCTCCTTTTGCTGCGGTGGCAGATTACTCCGTGACCAGAAACAACGTCATCCAGCTGTGTCTTGAGCTCACTACAATCGTGCAACAGGTACATCCATTCAAAAACATTCTGTAGTCACCAAGGACAAATGTATACCTATGTCAAATACAGGACAAAAGAAAGTGTTTTAGTGATGCCAAGATAGCGTATAATATGTCTTGGTTTTAAGTCATGTATGTACAATTCAGTTCTGCAAAGAGTATAATTGTTAAACTGTCATTAACATTAACAGATAACTTCTTAGGGCCAGCTCAATGCTGAGATGAAATCAAAGAAATGTCAGCCTTTATTATTCTAGTTTAATGAATTTAAACCATCAGTCATTATAAGAAGTATTTCAAGTGGATTTCATCATTTTGTGCTGACATTCAAGCACGACTTCTCACAGCCAAAGAAATACATGTCAGGATGTTTTCAAACTAAATATGCAGCAACTTACCACAGCTCAGATTTTCACATTTTCTGTAGCCTGTCGATGCTGACAATCACAGTAAGCTCTGGATCACCCTGGATGACCAGAAAATAACAGCACTGAGTCGTTTCTAGGATCTCTCTCTCTCTCTCTCTCTCTCTACAGAGAATAATGTTTATGTGGAGTTAAGAGAAAAATGTAAGTGGGAAAAATTGAAGGTGGGAGTGAAAGAGGGCGATCAGGAGAGAAAAGAAGACCGAGAGAGGAAGACTGTCAGAGAGAAAGAGAGAGAGAGAGAGAGAGAAAGGGAGAAAGAGAGGGACATGCCTCCGCAGTGGTGATTCATTTGTTTTTTGTTTGTGCATGGCTGTGTGGGAGTGTTGGGGGTTATAGGTGCCAAGCTGCTCGGTTTTTGCTTATATCCACCTACAGCAGAAATGCCAATAATAACTCCATTTTGACACGTTCTCTTGAGGTAACAGTGCTCTCTGAATGTTCCCCAGGACTGCTCGGTGTATGAAACAGAAAACAAAATCTTGCATGTGGTGAGTTGTTGACTTTTTGAATCCTTCATGAACTTTAAGAGACGCTGAAATCTGCACACTCTTTCATGTTGTATTCATCCACAATATATGTGTCCCCTCATAGTGTAAAACCTTGTCCGGAGTGTGCGACCACATCATCTCCCTGTCGTCTGACCCCATGGTGTCCCAGGCTGCACATCTGGAGGTCGTGCAGCTCGCCAACATCAAATCAACAGAAGGACTGGTAAGACAAAATACTAAGCCAGACTTAAAGAGCAACTCTAATCGTTTGAATGTTTCTCATTAGTCATTCAGTTGTTGAGGATAAAATCAGTCATTCAAAGTAAAAAGATAAAACATTAAGAGCTTTTGGTATGGGTAAGTCATGTAAAAAATAAAATAACAGCAGATAATTATCATACGATAATCCATATTTTCAGTAGTTATTGCTCATACTAGGTTACATTCTCAATTAAAGATCAATATGGCCGAGCACATTTACTATAACTTCTAAGTATTACAACATTTCATGTAAATTATCCCTGAAGTTCTTGCAGTACTTAAATTGTGAATAAAACCCCAACAGTATCCAGATAGCTTGTAACCTGATAATAATAAGGATTTCTTTGTTATAATCAAATCTATGGAGATACTCATTCAGAGACATGTTGTGTCGCTGCTGTGAACCAAACTCCCAAAAATGATGCTGCTGGCTTTTCTTTACTCAACAGCGTCACTCTGCACATATCCTTCTTCTTCCTGGTAAACACAACAATCTGTGAGAAGCACACAAACCCAACAGCAAACCCCAACACATGACGCTCCTGCATATAAGCAGGCTCTCCGTGTCCTTCTATCTTTACACAGTTTATTGTAGTAGAAAAGAATGAAGGTGTTATGTTGTTTTCCAGGTTTGGGGAAATGAACACACGAGACAAGGCTTCTAAAAAGTAAAGTACAATGTTCATACTAATCATTTTACTGCTGCTGCTGTTGCTGGTGATGGTGGTGGAAAACAACTCAGAGATGAAAACAGCATGACTCTGACAGCATATTGACTTCTTTCGGATTCAAATCGAGCATCAGCAAACTATCTTGCAGCATGTTTCTTGCTTATTGCAAAACGCAGCTGCCCCACACCTGGCTGTACTAATTCTTTCTACTTTAGTTCTTGGAGTTATATCACAGTTTTGATTCTTTCTTCTATGATTCAAACACCATGATGGCTTCTGTACCAGGCCTGTTACTTAAAGGGTTGGTTGACCTTTATTACATAGAAAAATAAATTAGCTCATTTACCCCGACAGGTGAACTCAGCCTGAACAATGTAGGCGTAGTGACTTCTATTGGTTGTGCTCACTCACTGCGTTGAGACAGTGTGCCATTCCTTCAGAAACAAGCCTTTCCATTATGTCTCATGTTAATGTTGTCAACACAAATAAGTTTTAGCGACTATCCAGAATATCTGGAGTTTGTATTTTTTCTTGAGAGATGTGGCTGCTTATTTTCTTTTCTTTAAACATTTCTTTAAACTGAAGCATGTGTGTCATTTCATCTGTTGGACAAAGGAGAATGTTTAAGTATAGAATAAACACTATGTACAGCTACTATACTCTCCAGTAAATATGAGACTTCACTGCAGCTGTCCCAAAACTGGGCTTCGCTGAGAATATGAGTCAGTTGACAAAAAGCAACATGAAAACAAAATGTTGCCCTGCTAGAAATGAGCAAAATACAAAATACTTAAATGTTAACAGTTCCAAGCAACAAATCACAGTCTCTGTTTTTAATGTTTGTACAAACAAGGTAACGTTGTTTACAGTAGAAGCAGTTAAGACACTTGATATACACTGTTTAACCATCAGCCCTTTGTTGGACTCCATCTTTACACTGACCTACACTCAGGCACGAGCGCCCTGCTTGGGGCCACAATAAAAAGCCCCAACCCCCTTTCCTTCCTCCCCCCCTACACACACATGCCAGCAGGGGACATGGAAGTTCTCTCATCCGTTCAGTGAAACCTGAACACAACAGTGGGCCGAGTGGCCTATAAATAAACCTCTTACCCTCCACTTGAAGACTGGCATGCTGCTTCTGTGTATCTGTGTGTTTGTGTGTAAGAAAGCAAGTACTCATGCAATTGTTTTTGTTATGGTGTGTCTGGGTGAGAGACAGAGAGAGAGAGAGAGAGAGGGAGAGAGAGTGTGTGTGCTTGTTTTTGTCTTTGTGATACACTTTGGACCCATTTTAGTGAAAACTTTTCCTGCAACAAACCAACCCGATTTCCTTTCGATAAATAATCCTTCATGTTTGACTCTTGTGCTCGAGGGACGATATGAGTGGGAACTACCACGTGGCATAAAATCTGATTGTGCTTTGCTTGTTTTCCAAAAGTACATCTATTAGATATTCAAGAACCTTTCTGCAGGGTTTTTCACTTCTTTTTTTTCCTGAACATGCAAATCTAAGATCAGATTGAAAAACACAGACATCTTTCACTGCTTGTTAGGAAAGAGTGAGATTAATTGAAATTCCTTCCATTCGTACAATCCAAGCTGATTAAAACAAATATCTAGATTTGCAGATAAGCTATGACCCTGATCTGCTCTGCAAACAGCTGCGTGGCTGAGCTGAGTTGCATTGTTCTAAACGAGTGTGTTGTCAGAGTTTGCTGTGTAATGTTATAATTGATACCCCTGTTATCCTCCCACAGGGAATGTACATCAAATCAACTTATGATGGTTTGCATGTCATCACTGGGACAACAGAAGGAGTGAGTACAGGCCTTTTTTGTATTAACATATGCACATCCTAATATGTGTATTATGTAGAGTGAGGTTGTTGTATCACAGTGAGCAGCAGCTAATGACTCTTCTTCACTGTGTATCCATCAGTCCCTCGCTGACCGCTGTAAGAAAATCCATGCTGGAGATGAAGTCATTCAGGTCAATCATCAGACGGTGGTAAGACATCATTAATAGCCTGCTGGCTTATTTCCATGTCTTTTTCCTGTTTGCTGGCTGAATTTGCATATCATTTGTATTATTATTTTTGCTTTTTCCATGTGCAGATTGTTAATTCAAATGTCTGGTTAATTCATATATGTTTTTTTTTTTTAACTTAAGGAAACTCTGGCCTCAGAATGTGTTTTTATATACTGTCAATGTGTATGCAGTAATATCTGTGTTGCAGTATGCACAGTGAGACACTGCAGCTTTTCTGGACCCTTTTATTGTTGAAGTGTCGGCCTGCAGGTAGTTGTTGATGATTTGGAGATGTTACTTTGACTGTGAGTTGCTTCAGTCATTTTGGGCTCCTAAACATTAGATGGAAAACATGTTTTTTGATGTGATTTCTGTTGGTAGTATTCAAACATCATTAACGCACACATGTTTTTTTCTGCATTTGTAAGACTGCGTCTCAGGATGTGTGCAGACAGTGCTTGATAGACGTGGTGCTCATATTTAAGCTAGTTGTGTTGTGCCTGTTAGAGCCGGACAACTCACTCACTCTGTCCTTCTCTCTCACCTTGAAATGCTTCATGTGAGATTAGTATAAATGAACTTGCTTTGCCATGCCTTATATTCCTCTTTTATTCTGCCTACAAATGGAACTTGTGGTCACTACAAAGCAGTCTTCTAAATAATATGTTGGAGCTTTAGTGCTAAAGAGCATTTTCATTATTGTTGATAGCTAGCAGCCAGAGAGGCTATAACAAAGCTTTGCAAGGATGCAAAGTCAAGTTGACAGAGTGAAGAGATGAGGCTATTATATGTCAACATTGTCCTTACATACATATGTCGTCTTTTAAGAATTACAAACACTATATTGACTATATAAACACACTTGTTTAAGGATTAGTCCTTCAAAAAATGGTGATAATTGCATGGCTGTGGAAAATGTCAGCAAATGCGTCATAGCACATCTACTGGAGCTTGAGGAAAAGTTTAACTTCCTTTGTTGTAAGTACCATAAGTGGTTTTTTTTTAAATGTTGATTTATGTCTTAAACACTAAAAAGAGAAACCACAACAGAGAAGCAAAGAAAAATTGGATGGAGGACAACATGATAAGCAACCACAGTCCTTGGCTGGGCTGTAATTGGGGATTTGAACAATTAAAGCAGAAAGTGAAACCCCTCGTAACCAAGGCTAGTTTATCCATCTTATTGTAACATTGGGGGTTTAGAGCTGAGCACATATCAGAACAAGTAAATGTTGATTCATTGTTTCTGCTAAGCTAAAACTGCAAAAACCTTTATTCTGCTAATGTGCACATAGAACTGTGTTAATTCAGTGAAAATAAAAGCACAAACTTCTCATTGTTCACAGTTTAAATATAGCCCCCCTTTTGTCTGAAATAATTGCTGCCTGTGTGTGCAACAGTAAGATGTATGATAATTACACAGCTCAGGTCAGGTTCATTTCAGTCACTCATCTCAACCAGTGGATGCAGATTTTTTTTTTTTTACAGAGAATAAGTACAAATACAGAGCTGAGTCTGTTTAAAAGACTCCTTCATCACACTTTTAAGCCATTAGTTTAAAGGCTAACAGAAATGAGAGCAGGGTGGTGTCTGTGCGTGCTCCTCGTGTGAAACAATACATAACCTATAGACCTGCTTCACAGACTATGTTGCCGCTTATAGCAGGAACAGGACAGTTGTAATTTATAACATTAGTGATGCACAACAACAGTGTTTGGATAAAAAAAAAAACCTTAATGTAAAGAAACATAATTATGTTACTAATGACATATTTGCATTTTATACTGATGTTTGTAGTCAAAAGATTGAGAGTCATTCATTGCTTGTATACTATCTGGTAAAATGGTATAAAGTAAAACTATTTGTATTCACTGTAATTAATGAGTGTGTACTGTAGTGTGAAACAGCTACAGTATGCAGTCACAGAGGTCACTGGTGGATGCTGGGAGGTGGTGGTGGTGGTGGAGGAATTGTTCCTGCTGCTGCAGTCGCCGAGTTAGATTGACAGCTTAAGTGGGTGATAGAAATATGTGAACTCAGTGTCTGCTGATGTCAAGCTAAACTGTCACTCATAATGACTGCCATGAAAAGATTACATAATGTTAATATGCTTAATTTGCTCTGGCCATATAATAAATTGCAATTTCATGATGGTTGATCCTGACGGATAATGAGGGATCATCAGCATGGATGGAACCTTTGGAGATATAAGGAGAAAAAGTGAACGTGTTGAGGTCAATTTTTCCGCAAGATGATGAGAAACACAAGTAGAAAAGTAGTGTTCTGAACACTAGAGATAAAAAAGACCCAAGCCAAGAGAGAGTAGAACAAATGTCAGGCTTAAAAAATAGTATTCAGCAAGAAGAAGCGCTTGAAACAGTTCAAGGATCTATAATTAAGGCCACTGGGAGAAGGCCAGCACAGACCAAAGTTCACTGGGTTTGAGCGTCTGTTTCATCGAAAAGCAGACGTAAGAATGGCTGCTGAGGCAAAAGAGTTACATCAGCCAGAGAACAAATCCTTAGAGGCAAAATCTGCCTTGTGATGAACTTTTGAATATGATAACACATATAGAATCATCTAAGAACACCTGAAGTGAAGAAAAAAAACAGACAAATAGTCCAGTGCCTACAAGCAAAGGATCGAAAAGGCTGTAAAAAATTAACGACACTGTGTCCGAAATAAATAACCGCAGGCAGCAATGACAAATTGAATTTCTGGTGCAGGTCAATAAACAGGGAAGGCTTCATACCCATAAAAAAGATCCATGCAGGACAGTAAATTTTAACCCTGAAAAGGGTCTACCAGCATCTCCTGAAGGAGCAGAAACAAAATGAAGAAACCAGAGGCATTCTGTTTTATTAGAAACACCTTATAGACCTAAACATTTAATTCACAGAGAGCAGTAGATGGGTTAAAAAAAAGGGGTGTTTCCCTGCTTTAAATAAACTTTTTTTTTGGCCACAGACACACAGACAAACAATCTCTTCATCACAGAACAAAGCAGGTTTTGGATTATAACAGTGTGTGTTTCTGCCTTGTCTGCCTTTCTAATGCACTCTTGCTTGTGAACATTTCTGTGTAACGGCTGTCAAGGTGAAAAATGACTTGGAAAGGAACATGGTGATTGCTAGGTCAGTGCCTGAAAAATGCCCGCTTTCTCAGGCTGCCTGGAATACGCGAGCTGTACTGAAAGTCAGTGCAGCCTTCCAAGCAATAGAGGATATTTTCTCCCCAAACTGGACCTGGCATATTTGGTTCAGTAGTCAGTGTTTCTCTGGGCAGGATGTTTTATGTGTCAAATGTCATCAAAACTGGGTTAAAGAGTATTTACAAGGCATGCAGCTGTTCACAAAGTACAACATGGGGGCTTAGCACACCACGACAGCGCCTGCAGATTAACATCACAGGAGGTGTACAAGATGCCCTTTGGTGATTTATCTGCACTCAACATTCCCAATTTAGAGCTGCAGTTTGTTCTGCAGTTTCAAACCGTCAGGATCCACGTTTTATTGGAACGAGGACCCAATCAGCGCCTTGAGTTAAAAGCCTGCTTGAAGCGTGCTTCAATCGTTGTGCGAGAGAGGAAAAGATAAGATAAACTGCATGCAAGAATTTGATGCAGCGAGTTGATGACACCCATTATTTCTGGCATTTGGCATTTTGTCTGTTGACATTTTAGTTTTCCGAGCCAGATTTTACTATATGTGGGTGACCATGCTGATAAATCCTTTTTGACTTTTGACAAAAGATCTTTCCACTTATTCATAAGCTCTCCAACTGTCAACAGTCATCCATTGCATTCCTCATTTCCAAGCCATATTAGACATGTTAGCATTATTTATTGCTGATCTGTCATGCATCATTTGTTACGGCTTACAAGCTTCACTCACTCAGTGCTCTTTGATTGCACTTTGGATGTTGATGTGTGATATGTGAGTGTTTTGTTTGTTTTTTGTGCTGTGCTGTCATTCATGCGCAACTGCTTTTTTACACAACTAATGTTCTAACGGATAATTCAAGATATTTTGCTTGAATTGAATATCTGCTGTAGAAAGTTTGAGGGTAGAAGTTACATGGAAAGAATTAAAAGGTGCTTGGCAACACCGAGCAGCAATTAAGCCTATGCGCAAGTGCAAAAACCTCCATCTGGGGCTGCAGTTAGGGTGAGACAGCAATTCCAGCATGGAGACTGCCATTGACGGGATTCCAAAGCCCCCTGCAGTAACCAGTGGTGATGTCACTCAGGCTTCGTCCAATATTATAAACAGTCTATGGGCAACATTTATCGATTCTGGTGTATTTATATGGAAGTGATACGATCTGGCAACGGTACAACAGTGGTCAGTTAGCCATGGTGGTAGCATTGATTACAAATTTAGCATAATGCTATTCAGTAGACTTCAAACTGAGTATAGATATGATGAACTCATGTTTTAATGTTGTCTGAAGTAATAAATCAAGTAAGCTTTAGTGTCATTATTTCATCTGTTTTTGTTGAATCCAATTATTTATTTAACAACCAGTTTTGTTGCCCCCTACTGGCCGTTAGAAATAATGCAGGCATGAGACATTTCTGTGGGCTTCGCTTTCCAAACCGAGAGGCTACAACATTCTTAATACACACTAAGTTTGATAACTAACTAGACATTTATGCTGACACGTTCAAAGTAGTAATGAGTCATATGGTTGCCTGTAACTCAAGGTTACCCTCACCACGCTTTCATCGTTTGATAGGTGGGTTGGCAGTTGAAGAACTTGGTGAACTTGTTGCGTGGGGACCCTGCAGGTGTCACCCTGACGCTGAAGAAACGCCCACAAAGCACGCTCACCTCCACCCCTGCTCTTCTCAAGAACATGAGATGGAAACCGTTGGCTCTGCAAGTATGATGGATACTGCCTTTGTTCGCCACTGAGATTATGCATGTTTGTGTTTGTCCACATATTTATATTTGTATTGTAGCGTAATGCAATTTAACTGTTACATTTTAATCTCTGTGCCTCCTTGCTTGTGCTAAAAATAATAATGCATAGACTTTGGCTACTAAAAACCAAAATCCCACATCATCAGACTATGAATAGCCCAAAAATATGAGATGAGTAGGATGGAGGTAGGATGCGATGTAATACAAGAGCCATAAGCCAAAAACTTGCTTTTCTACAGCTATGAGCCGTTGATGCTATATGTGTTTGACCCATATTTTGCAGGCATCGTTTAAATGGCGTCCGCCTCGTTTTCGTACCACAATTTTCTACTTATTGTTTGAAGGTTTTTCAACAACATTCATTCACATACTGACACTTCAGCCCTCAGTGGCATCTGTTGTCCTACTTCGGCCAAGCCAATTACAATATTAGGATCCTGTGCTGGAGCCAGAATGGGTGGAAATAAGAGGGATGAGTATTAATGTTTCTCGGCCATTCTTTGAGTTCCTGGCCAGAGAAAATGTTTTCTCCCCCCAGAGGCCCTGAAAAGCATTCCTGCCCCCCCTTCACATCACATCCTCGTACTTCTTCTTCTCTTCCATCTAAATCAAATTCTGTATCCTGCTGGCATTTCTTTTTAGGCCGAAAATGGAAAAAAATAAAGCTTTAATTTTTCTTGTTCTGAGATGTGACTAAAATTAAGACGTCATTCTGTTAAGTTAAAAGAGGTTGTGAAGTCGAAGCCCCGCAGTAACTCTGACACACATAATGGTCTTAGGATGGAGTTCTTCACCCGATTATAAATCTGTGATATTAGTCAGCTGTGAGTTATGCAACATATTTGCATAGTTTAGGCAGTGACAAATTAGTATTCTGTTGTTGCGAGAATTTCTCTTCTCACTTATTAAATAAGCTCTCAAGCTCTTCTGGAAGTCCATGTTTTATCTCCTCAAAACAGGCATCTTTTGATTGGATGATTTTGCAGCCAACTGATTTGATTGTAAATGTGACAAGATAGGAATTAAAAACACATTTTGTACGTATTTTTTTAACAAAATGTGTCATAAAAAAAGAAGTAATCTCTCTCCATGTAAAGAACATGCAGGCTATCCTGCAGGTTTTTCCTCGACATGAATGAGAGGAAAAACTAGACCGTGCACTCACCTGCGCGCACTTCTTAGAACTGGAGCATCAGAAACGTGCAGCGTGCTGCTCATTTCACGCCCGAGATGCTGTGTAGCTCATTCTGAGCGAACGAATGTTCCCCGACTGACTGACAATTGCTGCAAAACTTCAAATTTTCAACATGTCAATTCCTATAACTGTTCCCCTCTCTCTCTCTTTCTTTCTCCCTGTCCGCCTGTCCCTCTCTCTTTTGCACACGCTGACACATACACACATACACACACATTCACTCATACACAGCCAATCTTCCCTCAGAGCCCCAGCAGCAGTGTGGCCACCCCCACCAGCACTTTAAGCACACCATCCAGGAGGAGTAGCTGTGCCCTGCAGGACCTCTACATCCCCCCTCCTCCTGCTGAACCCTACACCCCAAGGTAAACGCATGAGCCTTGCTCACACTAACACAAAACTCCTGCAAAGCTCCTGAGGTATTCGGGGTGGGCCTTATGTGTGAACGCAAACTACTGAATTTTTCACTCTTACTTTATCTGGAGTTTCTCCTGCCAGACCCCTCATATTTTTTTTTTTTATGCAAGCAGTCTTCTTGAGCTGATGTGAGAACGCAGCGAGATAAAATCAGGAGAATTCCCTTCGAGTGAGTGGGAGGGGGTGGTGACGTTTCTTCCCCGCATTCAGCGTAGGACAGTAGACTGTATACATGTGACCGTGTGATATCGGTGCATGTAATTAAACTGCTGCATTATGTTTTCTGTTTGCCAGTATGTTCTCCTCTTTTTTGCTACATAGCATTGATATGAAGCCAATATTCTCCTTAAAGCGGATTCTGTTGCTTCGCCCACTTGCTTTGTTCTTTTTGCGGCACGTTTGCCTCAGGAGACCCCCTGTCCCCCCTCACATCTGACTGGGTCTCTCGCTGTGAGGTGCCGTGGTCATGAGAATTTTAGGAGCAGTCCACCTGAAATTCTCCTGAAGTTTTCAGGGGGGCGTATGTGAAAACCGCTACACAGTTACACATTTAACACAAATTCACCTGTATTGTAACTTTACCAAATATTAACGATACCATACAGTATAGAGATTTTCACCACTTAAAGCACTGAGAGCAATGTTTTTACATGTGATGATGAACATGGGAAAAGGACAAGCATACTCATTCCTGCCAGAGGCTTCATGAAGCACCAATGATTGACCTTTTGTGATGGTGACACAAATAGAAGTGTAGCACTGTAACCACAAAGACAATGGAGAAGACAACCGCAACCAAGGCTAGCAAACAATGAAAGATTTAGAATATTGTAAAATGTAAAAGGTCTGTTTCACAACAGTTTGACAAGGAGATAAATGCATTCATCATGTCTGTCAAGTAGCCTAGATGCACATGGTGAACGCATTTAGGTGTGTAAGACTAAACGTGAACCGAATCAAATTTTCATATTTAATTATTTATGTTCACCACTTTGATATAGAATGAAATATCTCAGCAACTATGAACTGGATTACCATAGAACTTTGTCCAAACATTTATAATCATTAGAATATAAATACTGTTCACTTGGATTAATCCTTGAGACCAAAAGGTGACAACATCAATCTGTTAAAAACAAGGCCAACAGGTGTATTTTTGCTCCTCAGTAAAAAAAAAATGCTAAAACTACTCATGAAGAACAAATACACAAGAAAGCTACTCAATTACAGTAACTTGAGTAAATGTAATTCATTACTTTTCACCCCTGCCTACCATCATCCCTTATTGTACGTTGTGTCTAATCCTAATTAAAAGATAGCATGCTAACAAGCTAATCTAAGATGGCATCTGTGGTCAGTATATACCTGCCTGTTATCAGTTTATTTTAGGTGTCACTGTGAGCATGTGAGAGTGCAGATGTTGGCTTTAAGAACTTGATGGTGGACTCTTTTAGTACAGTTAGACTGTCCAAGGAGAGATCCAAACAGCATGGCTCAGGCATGGGTCATATACTGCTGCTTTTTTCAGATGGGAGAATAAGCTCGCCTATATTTACCAAGAGCCAGATGTAGGTTTTAGCACAAATAGACAGTGAAGATGGATTGTAATGTTCTTTAAAAATCTTTATTTTGGGGCTTTTTAGGCCTTTATTAGACAGAGAAGTGGATAGATTCATAGGTGGGGAGAGAGTGGGGCATCACAGATCGGATTCAACCCTGGCCGCACACTTGGGACTGTATCCTCTGTACATGGAGCACTCGAAAACCACTACCGCCCCAGTCATGTTGACACAGGAATAACACACTTGTAAATACAGATTTTATGTCTGCATGGGAAGAGTATGTCAACCTTTTTTAAAACTCAATACTGCCAGAAATTAGTTTATAATTTCAATCCAAATTTAGTATGAATGAAATCGATGATGAAGCCTGATCAAACATTGGATTATTTACATTCATCAACAAGCGCAAACTCCAATATAAAGAGAAATGGCTAGTGGCAGCAGCTTCACGGCAGAGCTGCAGCTTACTCACAGCCTTTTTTTTTTTTAAAGGCATTTTCTCTCATATTAGTCAAGCCGTCATTGACATTTTAATTTTGCTACCACAGAGACGACAAGGGAAATCTACCCAGTGATGATTCTCAATCCGATGTCCATGTCGCCGAGGGATCTGAGTCACCAAACTCCTACCTGGATCAGGAGTGTCGTGGGCGATTTCCTCTGGTGGAGGAAGACACAATACTGTACTGCTACGAGTATGACCAGAACCAGGAGGTGTCATCAGTTCGCAGGGGCAGCACCCCCACCCCCACCTATGGTATGACCTGAATCTCTTCTGAAGACTCGCTGCTGAAATTATTAGAGCCACGAGCCAATGTGACATGTGTACGCTCTAGAGACTTTTTTTTTTTTTTTAGACGTCTGCGTCTCTCTGGCATGTGTGTGTGTGTTTATGAGAATGTGTGTGTAGGCAGCTGTGTAATATTGACATTCACTGTTCCTCCTTCCTCCAGGCAGGCTCAGGCCCATCTCCATGCCAGTGGAATACAACTGGGTGGGAGACAATGAAGACCTGGCCAAGATGAAGAGAGAGAGCAGGAGAGGTGAGTGGGAGGCCGTGGGAGGGAGAAAAAAAAAAGAAAGGGAGGCAGAGAAAGGAGGGAGACAGAGAGGGACAGAGCGAGAAGAGGTGAGTGGGCTGATATCTTATAATATTCTCACCCTCTCAGATCTCCAAGCCAGGAAGTAGAAGGATGAGCTGGCCTGTCAAAACTGATAACATGCTGGATATCAGTTCCTACCTCCATCTCTCTGCATATGTTCATAATCTAGCTCTGCTCCTGTTCTCCCCTCATCCTTTTCTTCTCGCTCTCAGCTGCGCCGTTTCTCTCTGTTTGGATATAAAAAGTACACTGTTGCTTTGGCAACAGTAGAAATACACCCAGAGATTTTCACATTTTGTTGGGGACTGTCAGAATAGGTGGTAAATGGAGTGTGAGTAGGCTGATTTGCTTTATTTCAGTCTCAAAGAAAGAGTTGAGTGATGTGTTTGTTTCCTCTGGGGACGATGGTGATATGTTGCTCCTTTGGGCTTTTTTCTTTTTTTTTTCCAGAAAAAGTGATGGAGCTATATTTATCTACAAGAGGCAGTTTTTGGAAGTTTGAGGGCCTCCTGCCTGACAACAGTCTTTTTTTTACTGATTATTAATGCCTTTCAAATAGGAAGTCTTTTGAAAAATCAGCATTCACTGATCTCAGAGAGTCATCATGAAATCACAGACAGCTGACTGATCCAACTGGAGATCACACAAAGTTTGATCACGAACCATTTTAGCAACTAATATATGATGATTCATTAACAAAGATAGATGAGAATTATGACTTTGTTCATTATTCAGACGCATTTTGGGGAATTCTGTCAATTATTTTGCATTAACTTTGTATAAAATGGATGATGCGTCTTCTTCCGTTGTACAGAAATAATCCCTAAGTGCCGCCCACGACAGGCGCTGATATTTTGCGCTTGTGCTTCATTTGGGGCATTTGACTCTACCATGGTTTTGACATCCAGACCTTTCTACCAACTGAAAAAAACCCCACATTTCATACGCCGTTAAAACAGCAACTCAGTACAGACTCTTGTTTAGGTCTTAAGCAGACACTCACAGTAACAGTAAAGTTCAATGTCTGTTTTTTAAGTGTTCTCTTGCTCAATTCCTTTTCCTACTCTGTCAATCGAATACACACAGACGCCTAATTTATCAACAAAGCTGTGAATCATGGCATTTGACTACTTTTTATAGAATCAAATAACTAATTAAAACTTAACTTCTAAGAAAAATGAAGACTTGGACATGTACCAGCATAATGAGAACCATTTTTTTAAAGGCAGAAAGCATGTTTGAGAAAAAGTTATTAAGCTGATTTTCTAGTTTGACCTCTTAACATGGAGTAGCAGGGCTTTAAGAGATATACTGCAGCCAGTCAGCAGGGGGGCTGGGCTTCACTTTTGGGGTCCTGTCATGTCATCTAGCTTTTTATTCAGTCATTTTATAGATACATTTAAGTAATGGTCTTTAAATTCAGAACGTGTGTGCGGTACTGAGTTTCCCTCTGTTGTGACCCAGCAGAGAATTCCCTGCTGCGCTTCGCGAGTGAAGATAAAGCCCCGGGGGATGACTTCTTGCTGGGACGCAGCCTGAGTCAGAACAGGAGGAAGACAGAGCGAGGAGCCAGCCCCACCCATTACACGCTCGTCCCTGCCCTGCAGATGGAAGTGTCCCTGTCTACATCCAGCTCAGACTCTGCCTCCCTCTACCATGTCAGTTACATATGTATCTTAAAATTGACATTATCCCCTGTAAAATAAAATAAAAATAAAAAGCCAAATAGCACACAAAAAAAGGATCCCCGGCATGTAGTTATTCTTCTATATTTTTTTTTGCAGGTGTTTGAAAGATCCTCGCTGCTATCAAGGTCAAAGAAGAAAAGTAAAGGTAGGAGCAGAGTGCTCATGTTCACTCAAACCAAAACATGAGCAGATGTTATACAAGGCGTGTGTTATTTAACCCCTTCACCGGTTCTGCTCCCCTGCTGACACCTGCAGCTGGAAGTCCCCTGCCTTTAATCAGCAAGCGTCGGATTTCCTGCAGGGACCTGGGTCAGGGGGACTGCGAGGGCTGGCTGTGGAAAAAGAAGGATGCTAAAACGTATTTCTCACAGAAGTGGAAGAAGTACTGGTTCATCCTAAAAGACACATGCCTGTATTGGTACATGAATGAGGAGGTGAGCATGTGGATTTTTTTTAATTCTCAACATTTCGCCCATACAAGATGTAGCACTTTCACTGTGCTCTTGCTCTCCACAGGATGAGAAGGCAGAGGGCTTCGTCAGCCTACCAGAGTTTAAGATTGATCGTGCCACTGAATGCAGAAGGAAGTAGTGAGTACTGATTTTCAACCGGACACAAAAATCAACCAACAACAACCCAGTGTGTGTATCTTACCTGTAACATATGAGGTGAACACATTTCAGTCCTTATAAAACTGTTTTTTGATGTATCACAAATCCCGAAAGTATTTTTGTTTTAAGCCTAACGGTAGTCTATAGATGTGTAAATAAATAAAAAAAACATTTAGAAACATAGATCATCAGGAGGTCGCAGTACTATCGTCAAGCTTTTAAAGATCCAATCACAAAGAAGATCCACCCCTCTTTATGTTGGATTCAAGCCTCTCTGCTTTGAGCTGAATATAGATGCTATTTTTAGAGACTGAAGGTGAACTTGTTCTTTTCATATTCGTTTGCTTCCTACAAACAGACAGGAAGTAATGTAACTAGACTTTGTGATATCTAGAGAAGCTTACCTAGAAGTCCATTCAGTTTTGGCGGTGGGTCAGATCAGGATCATCACTGGTTTCTTGAAACCAATCCTGCACAGACAATGTGTATATGGATTTACACAGTTCTTATAATCAACTATATATAAACTACTTTATGCAGCCAAATTACGAAAATATCATTTAGCACATTTGATATGCAAAAGTCTAACTTATAGGCTTGATGCAAGCAAATTCTCGGTTTTAAAAACTCATTATGAGGGTGTTGTGTTTCATCATTATGGCTTACCTTCATGTATCCCTCCTAATCCTGCCACTCAACTTCTGTCTCAACGTCTCCGTGCAGGATTGTTCACATGCACACATGCACACACGCACAGACCCACACCCACACCCACACACACACACACACACACACACACACACACACACACACACACACACACACACACACACACACACACACACACAAACACACACACACACACACACACACACACACACACACACACACACACAGTAAACTGACTCAGACTTTCAAACAGCTCCCAGAATTAGTTTATCTTTTAATGCAAGGTCTTGCTGTTTTTTTTTTTTTCTGTGTTAGTATGAATTACTGTATGTGTGATTGGTGCCAGTTTATCTTGACAGTCCCCGGTATTCACATGTTAATGTGGGCTTTGCAGCCCTGCTCCTGTGCCTACATATGATTAAATATACCCTCGGTTCCCTTTCAGTGCTTTCAAGGCTTGTCATCCGAAGATAAAGACCTTCTACTTTGCGGCGGAAAACGTAGACGACATGTCCCGGTGAGTTAATGAGGCTGTGATAAGTTATGCTGTAAACTCCCACATGTGCAGCCACATTTAAACACCCACTGGCCGGAAATTGAACCCTCCCCTACTGGACTGCCAACTCTCTTTACAGCAGAGAAGTTATGTAAAGAGATTGCTCAAACACACACACACACACACACACACACACACAACCCCAATATGTTGTAATGGATGTCGAACTGCTGTGCGTCATGACTGTGACTCTCCCACACAGGTGGCTGAGTCGTCTCAGTATGGCTGTGGCAGGATACTCGGAGCAGGAGAAAATTTGCCATGACCAAGGTGAGATTAGTCACACACTCTGACGATGTTCACGCGAAGGAGACTCTATTGTAGGTCTCTCCTGTCCAAATGTGTACAGCTCTTAAACACAGGGACAATCACCATGTTAAATCTAGAAATCGTGTATAACTGTTTCAGTAATGATGAATGCATTGATAGTTATTTTCCCTTGTCTTTACTAACCCTGGTTTGAATATGCTATCACATGATTTGCCTCCAGCTCTGTCTTTAACATGCAGAAAACAGGGAGCTGAAGGCTGCAGGCTCTGTGACTTTAATACACAACAAGCACATGACATTTCATTATACCTTATGTAGCGTTTTAATATGTCTCAAGAAATTGTGTGTTCTTGAAATAATGATTGACACATGATGAACTTTCTGTCCAAATAGCTGTGGAAATTTAAAATCAAGGCAGATCTCTCTCAAATTATGTGATTTGAGTCAATAACCAAGAAAACCCAAGTCCTGGAGGAAAGAATTCAGTACATTTTGAGATCAGTGGTAGAGGATTCCTTTTTACACCTCTCCTTGGTTTCACCTGCACTTCACATCTGATTCAACAGCTCTGCTTCGAGCTGAATATAAATGCTAGTTTATGAAGGCGTGCTTGATATTGAAACATTCTGCTGTTCTTTGGCATCCTTAAACGGACAGGAAATAATGTAACTAACCTACTTAGAAACTGCAGAAAAGTGGGCGGTGGGTGTGATCAGGTTTGTCATTGGTTTGATGAAGAGGGGGCTTCATCCTGCACAGACAAGTTTCTAAATTGGACCCATAACACCTCCAGAAAACTTACCAGGAAGTTCTCACTTATGAGATTCATCCTTCTTCACACTCAGCCTCAACAGCAGTCAGACGCGGACTTCACACCTACACCACACCAACGCTGCAGCTACACCTTTCTGAACACTTAGTCATACACAGAGCTGATCTTTGTGACCTGATGTAGCAGGGAAAAAGCAAAATCTGTCATAAAATGTACATGAATATATGTCTTCTTTAAGCTCTAAAGTCGCATAATCCATGATGAGCCTCGGCCAATCCACTTTACATCCAGGTCGGGAATATTCTAAAGCACAGTGCAACTGTATTTTATCCACATGGTTATGTAAAATCTCTCCTTTCTGCAGCAATTTAAAGAGTTTTATTTTTATTTTTTTTGCTGTAGAATGAATAACATGACACAGTCTGTTCATTCATGACAGATTACTGGAGTGAGAGTGATCATGAGGACATGGAGATGCCATCAATGCCCAAACAGGACAGTCCACCACCACCTTACGACACCTTTCCCAGAGCGTCCTCAGTGAGTCTGACAGTTTTAAAAGATACATTTCCCCTCAAGGGGAAACTGTTCTCCTTTTTTACTAACTAACCATCTGTTTGTGTTTAGGTGAGTCCCTACCTGGAACCCAAACGGGGCCATCTCTCCTCCTCAGACACTTTCCAGTCCCGCTCTTCCCATGAGGAGTTCCACTCTGAGCCTCTGGACGGCATCGGCAGCAACAACGGTGTGTCCCCTGGGCAGAAGTCGAGCGTCCACAGAAACTCCTGGCAGGACCAGATGGAGAGCAACGCCAGGATGCACTACCTGCAGACATTTCCCATGGAGGGCAGCCTGATCTCCGAGGACAGGGACCAGCTAGCGATGGAGTACCGCAGACAGTCCACCCTGCCGGCACAGCGAAGCCTGCTGCAGGAGCAGTACAGAGCCCTGCCTCTGCCGCTCAGGGCCAGCATCGACTCAGATGCAGGAGGAAGCAGCGCAGTTTTACGCTACCCAGAGACAGTGGGCTTCACGCCATCCTGTCTGCCACCAACAACACGTCGGATCAGAGAGAGCCACGACACTACCAACTGGAGCGACCCAGGGACACAGGTCAGAATCTGAGCATTACATGTTTTTACTTGAACAACAGACAGCCCTGTCAGACTGGAGGGGGGAGTCTCAGGAAGCAGTACATGACGTAAAAAGAATGACAGAAGTAGCCAGTGCATCAGTGCTACTTGTAGTTTGACCAAAAGTCCCAAGACCGATTTCGAATACTACAACACTTACAGGTTGTACTGGTACAAGTACAAATTCAACTCAGATCCAAGAAAAAAAGACACCAACCAGCACTCTCACCAAAATCTGTACTACAGCTGCCCTGATGCGATATGCACTTTGCATGCAGTCTGCTAACTATTGGGATATACTAGATCATCAAAAGAATTGCGCCTTGAACTTTGAAACGCTTTTGTATATCAGTGAGTATCAGTAGCCCATCAGCCTGTGCTTTCTCTGAGGCTCAGCTGATGTGACATCTCTTCAGCTCTGCAAAGGATTATGGGTCAGAATGGCCAGAGAGCATGTTGACTTGCATACTGCAAAATGAGAACATAATGATATGTTTGACATACAATTAATGGGACATACTACATCTTTGTCTGGCATGCTCAGCTGTAATGAAGTATGGACATATGTGTGCACCTCCTATACAAAGAAGGACAAAGAGTCAGAATCATTTTCTTATCATTCATGGAAAACATTTAAATTTCCCTTGTATACAAATAAACCTAATCAGTTCAAACTGTGCTAGAGGATTAATATTGGGAACCGATGCAGAAAGCATGAGTTGAGATAAAGGAATAACACATTAGACTTTATCAATTAATCTTTTCTAATTCTCTTGTCCACTGTTACACACAGATCAGCCTTTCCATCTGCAGAGTGTTGAGCAAGTGTGCGTATTTGTCGTCGGTTATTTAGTTAAAGCTGCTAACATGCAGCCAGAGCCAGCAAATGTCAGAGGTTGAATATGTGCTATTATTGCTTTATTGGATTGGATTTGCAGCCAGCCCATTTTCAGCCCCTCTGAGACCTCCGGGGCAGTTGTCTAAGTGAGATGAAATTTAGTGTCTTATTTGATCGTGATCTATGTTGGCAGTCCACTCTCTCTCTCTCTCACACACTCACGCTCAGTCTTTCTCTCTCCCTTCTTGTCTCTCTCTTGCACAATCGAGATGTCACTGTGCCTCTCGGCAATATATGAATGGTGAAGTAAGGAGGAATCCTTTCAGCCCATATTAGTGTTGAATCCTGAGCAGGAAAAAAAAAAACACGCCCAAGGGTCCTTTCTCCTTGTCCTCATTTATCTACTGCTCCACCGTTGACTCTTTCCACCACTGCCTGTAAATACAAGAAAGGAGCACAAAACAGGCGGCAAATAAAGCATGATACATTTCAAAGCTCGGCCCCAAAGCTTCAGCATGAACCACCCCACTTCCAAAACACAAAAAAAAGGGACGGCTAACAGAGTCAGAGGCTAGTACTAGTGTTGGGGTAGACAGTATTAGTGCAGTATTAGATTTATGCCAACAGAGGGCAGTGTGTGTAAATAAGAGACAAGATGGGTCCAGGCAATTTATTAGAAAATGTATGTGCTGTGCACAAAATGTTGTAGATCCAATTTTCCCTAAAGACTGTAGCATGATGAAGAGATGTACCAGGGACATGAATGATGTACTAAATGTAATACATGCATCATGTGAGCCTTTCATAAAATCTGTATATTTACTCTCTGAGTAAAGGGAGAGGACATACTGTATATGACCATGGTTTAGTAGAAAGATTGAGGTATCTAAGGAGAACTAATATGAAAAGGAAATATTAGGAATGGGAATAAGACTAAAGACATTAATGAAGCTTCGAGAAGTAAAACAGAGTATAAAGTGGATATATAATGTGTGAAAGCATTATTAAAACTGTACTTAACTTACAATTAAACTACCGTACATTTGATGTCTCTATATATTAAGATTCCTTTTTTGCACCTGTCTAATCTAGCAGGGTCTTTGTACATATACAAACATTTTAATTTACTGACAGTTTTTGTTATTTTTTGCTTCTGTTTTCAGCATCAAGACTTAAAACTAAATGTTTTATTCCCACCTTTTTTTTTATCTGAAAAGCCCACCCATCAAACAATGATGGACAGTGACTAAGTGGATTTAATCAAATACTGTAAATAACTCTATGTATTGGTATGTTATTTCACCACGTAAATATTTCAAAAGCTTATCAAATAAGGAATATTAACCAGGCCAGCAAGGGGGCTCCTGGTTTGAATTCCCATCGGACAGGACCTCTCTGTTTGGAGTTTGCATGTTCTCCTCCAGCATGCGTGGGTTCTCTCTGGGTACTCCGGCTTCCTCCCACAGTCCAAAGACATGCTTGTTAGGTTAATTGGCGACTCTACATTGCCCGTAGGTGTGAGTGTGAGTGTGGCTGGATGTCTGTCTCTCTGTATGTCAGCCCTGTGATTGACTGGTGTACCCTGCCTCTCGCCCAATGACAGCTGGGAACACCTCTAGCCCCCTGCGACCTGGAACGGGAAAAGTGATATAGATAATGGATGGATGGATTAACCAGGCCACAGTACATACAATGAGACCTGAAGTGATGGATTGATTCATTAATTAAAACAACAGACAATTAAAACTGTTGTAATGACTCATTAATCAAATTAAGAAAACATGTGATGATCCCAGCATACACAACATTCTCAAATTAGAATCAACTGAATGATTCTGAAATGACACTTCATGCTTTTTAGAATATTTTATTTTGCTTTTTTCAATTAAAAAAAAAACAAACAAACAAAACAAACAAAAAAAAAGCACAATAATTAATAACAATGACAAGTACGAAACAAAAACAATATTCACCACTGCAGGAGGGCTGCAACAGTTTCAACACTCTTTGTAGAATAAAAAAATATGTTCCTATTTTTACCATACAGAACATTAATTAATCAAATATTCAAAGCAGGACTTTAACTTGCAACAGAGTGTTTCTGCACTGTGTTTAAACCACTTTCACTTAGCGTTAAGTATACCGGATACATGTCCACCACTTTATGCAACACATAGACAGAGCTTCATCTCAGTCTTTGCATGTCGCCTGAACACACTTAAACCCTGGCACTGTCATCAGGAAACAAATTCATCCGCAAAAACTCAACAGCAACATTTCTTTCCAGGAAAATGTCTGTCAGGATAATCCGCTGCCCTTGCTGTCAGATTTATTTTTGAGTCACTTCGCCAGCCACTTGTTTGCTCGGCTGTCTGCCATTTCCTGCTGGGCAGGTAGCAAACAGTCAGTTTGTGTGAATGTGTGGGCAGAGAGAGGCTGCCTTTAGGATCTTATAATGGTTAAGTGAAACATTCACTGCTAAGATGATTTTGCTGAAGTTCCTGTCTATGAAATGTGTTTGTTCAGCATAGAACAGGCAAAAAAAAAAAATAGCAGGCTCTTTTCTCCTTAATGATAATGTTGGTGCACTTTATGGTGAATTCTGTTGGTTTCCTTCTATCCAGGCCTTGGGCGGGACTGCAGGATGCAGGCGGACTCTCTGGGAGATTTGTACCGGGCTCTGGAGCAGACCAGTCTGTCCACCTCGGCTGACCATAGATCGGCCAGTCGCCTGGAGTACAAGCGCTCATTTGTCCGTAGAGTTAACGACCCCTTGCTGAATGACAAGCTTCATCGCCTCAGGGTCCTCCATAGCTCACTCAAGGTACAACCGCCATGTACAGCATAGCTCATAAATGTAACCTCAGAATGTATTGATCATGAACTGATTACTGATGTCAACCCTTTGTCCTTACAGAATGTCCCTCTGCAAGACACACACCGCTCACTGGGTTATTTAGGGTGAAGATCAGTGTGCTGATTCAACCTAACGTATTGCCTCTGCTTGTGCCTCACACAGCCGGCATCCCTCTGCTGGAGATAAAAGGCACCGAAAAAAACCTTTCACAAAAAGCTTTCCCTGCTCGGCTCTACATCTCCTTTCCTTTAACTACTCCTCACCCTTGGTCAGCATGGAGGAGCACAAAGACTTGTTGCCCCTCTGCTCATGATCTCTCTATATATAAATATATATAAATATAATAAATGAGGGCTGTTACAGAAGGCAAAAAAGAGATCTAGGCTGACAAAATATCTTGCAAAGTCACAGGGTTTATGACAGGGTTTAGGCGCTTTGCGTTTGTGTCCAAAACTTGTCGGAGAGCTTTGTAAATCATCGCTCGCATGCATGGCCACCTCCCCTCCCTTCTGTCGAATTGTGTTGAACATTATGCTGCAGTTGTGTACAAATACTCAGTAAGCAGAAGCTATTTTGGATGTACACAACATGTTGACATGCATGTATGTATGATCTAAGGGTATGTTTGTTCCATGAGTGTACAGGAAGTTAAGCATTTATATACATATTTAATATTAAACTACAACAGTGACTACACAATGTTTTGGGGTACTTGTACAAATTGTAAATCAAGTGCTGTGCCTCAGTGATTGTGAATGTACATTGTACTTTTCCAAGACAGATGAGAGGTAATACAGAAAGCAAGCTATCCCTTGAAACAGGAGCACACAAAAAATAGAACGCTTGGCAATAAAAATGAGTATTGTACATTTTGAAGGAGTGATCAGAATAGATGTCTATTTTTGTATGCATGCCGTCTACCTAATTGATTGTAAATCAGTTTTGTATTTCTGAGTGTGTTTGGTCTGGAGAATACTGTCGTTGACCCTCCTTCCTGCCACCACAACTTTGTGTTTTAAAGACTTATTTTGCAATTTGACCCAGAGAGTTAAAGATTTTTTTAGTGTTGGCTACAAGAAGAGAAATATCTGTATTTATTAAGTGTTTAATGTACAAGCATGCTTTGTATAACTAAAACACATTACCATGCCATTTGAAAATTGACTGACATTGCACAAGTGTGCCACATTGTAGCTCCATGACTTTTTTTATGAATAAAGTATGGCATGGGCACACATAGGAGCCATTGTTAATCGTTTTTCCTCATTATCACATTTATCAGAGGTATTTTTAGAAAACTAATCAAGCATTTAGAAGTATTTTCAACTTCTGCACAGACACAGATAAAATTCACTCTTTGTTGTCTGACTTTGTCAGAGGTAAGTATGGAGTTTACAATATCCTCACTTAAGTAAAAGTATGTAAAAAGTAAGCGGGAAAAGAAGACTGCTGAAATTGATTATTTTAAATTATTTACCACGAGTTAAGACCAAAGGGAGATTTTGTCCATTTTCTGGTTTGTCTCTGAGACGATCCAGAGACATCAAAATGATTTGTGTCACAGTGAGCCCTGTGTGAGAGCTCTTACATCTTACAGTTGTCTCATTCCAAGATCTCAGCTAATAGAAAAATGTCAAAGGCAAGTGCGAGCTCAGTCCCTGTGGAAGACGTGATCAGGCCAGCTGCTGTCACTATAAAATAATGTTCATAGAATTGCAGCCCTACTCAGTGGGTCGGTCTTGAGCAAATAAAAATTCAAAGATTGATTATATTGGCACAAAGGTGCACTGACCCACCTGGGAGAGTTCCTGGGTATGCCAGATTACCAGTCCAGTCCTGTATCTCATTTTCCATCTCACCCTTAGGTCTCTGGTGACAATTACTTTTCTTCCCACACCCAGGTCAAACAAGATGGCTATTTTCATTTTGAAGTTCTTAATCTGGAGGAGTTTGATTAACTTATTGCCTGTCTACTGAGATAAACCCATTTTAAGACTTTTCCTTTTCTCTATCATTTTAATCATATATAAAACCTTCCTGACTTCAGGTTACTGTAAGGAACTGCTGTTGCGTTCAACTTTTAAGTTTCTTATTATATTGCATATTTGTGGCTTTTTATATCTATATATTCTTTAAATTTATTAAATAAAAAGCACAATATGAAATACAATGAGACATGTCTTATTTGTTTATGAACGTTTTAACATTAGAAATGAATGTGAACATAATAGAATGAATTGAAAATGACCGGAAGCTATTTGAAGAACATAATTTGACATCTGATAATAAAAATAGACAGTATATAAAGAACATGTGTTAAAATAAGGTTTGTCTCATTAATCAAAGTATGGATAAAGTGTATAACTTAATTTGAGGATAAAAGGTCACATGACCTTGAAGCTTTTAAAAAAGCTTAACAAAAGTGCAAGAAGTGCAAAAACATGAGGAGGGAGGTTGAGACAACATTTCAAATATGGCGACTGCCATCAGTGGGCTTCAAAATTCACCTTCAGTGTCACGTTACTGAGGCATCGTCTATGTTTATTTGCAGTTTATTATCTTTACAAAAATCTGTATTTGAAATATAGGAAGCACAAATATGTAACATACCAAGGTGTGTGTCTCACTTGTGCAAGGATTAAGATTGGCTAATCATCAATAATAAATATTGCACAATTATGTCTCCATGAAACAGTTATCTATTGATGGCCCCTTAGTCAGTCTCTGGTAGGTAAGGGCAAGTGCCAGGAATTGAGGTAACCGTCCTCCTAACATCTTTCAGGGAGACCGAGTAGCCCAAGCGAACGTCGCTGGCTGCAGCGGGAAAGCCTGTCCAATGTCCAGCTTAAAACCAAATCTATGCTGTGATGGAGAGGTGACCTTTCTTTTCATAGGGAAGAAGAGGGATTCCTTGCTGTCAGTCTGATTTTCTCTGCTGTCTCTGACAATGAAAATAATACATTTTGCAGGACTGAAAAGAAGCTCCCTGGCCAAATCTACAACCGACTGTAACCAAGATCCCACCTTCCATGAGGTGCAAAAATCAAGTACTCTCCGTCAGGGAATCGAACCCTGACAGGCGGGGATACTCACCACCAACAGTACTGTGTTGTTCCCTTATAGTGGTTATGGTTGTGCCAAAACATGTAGGCTATATTCAAATTATTTTGCAACATCAAAAACATTAAAAACATAGGTTAGGCTAAAACACATTCAAATAAACATTTTGTGTCACTTTGTTCCATCACTGTTTACGGTTTTACACAAAAAATCTACAAAGCACAGCATTATGAAAATCCATATATTTTCAACAAACAAGAGTTAGACTATACAATTTTCAGAATAACATATATATCCGATTTGTTAAGTTATTACTCAAAGTCCAATTCAACTGAGACATGTCAACCATTGAGGCTACAATCAGTGATGTCAACCCAGTTGTCAGTTACATAGCATAAGAGACAAAATTTCATATTTATTGTAGTTAATAGCAAAGGTAATAATTGGGTATTAGCCTTAGCAAAGTAAATTAAAATATAGAAAATATTCTGATACATTCCATACGTTGTACAGTCTGACATGGCCAGGATCTACAGGAGTACAGGAAAAGTCATGTATTTCTTGGATTTAGGGAGCACCATGAAGGCCTCCCCGTTCTTCATCTCATCCACCACCAGTTCCAGGAGGCACTCTGCTACCTCTGACACACTGGAATTAAAATGTAGTCACTTCAAATGTTAAGAGGTTAAACTGATCATACCAGGTCATGATGAGGAACTTCATCACATCATCTACTTTAGAGAACATTCAGTTTGTGTGCTTGATAATGTAGTAAATGGAAGTCTAAACAACTTGCTAAGGTTTCACGATTTAAATGAAATGTCTACAGGTGAGACTAATGAAACAGGTGAATAATAATAATAATAATAATAATAATAATAATAATAATAAGAAGAAGAATAATACATTTTATTTATAAAAACTCAAAGACAAAGTACATTCGTCAAGAAGGTGAAGACAATGAGGGAAATCAAAACTGGAGGAAAAAAACACACGGGCAGAAGGAAAGACAAGAAACACTGGGGACAAGAACTACAAAACTAATCAGGAAACACTGAAGACAACACAGAGAACTCAAGAATGTAACAAGAACAACGAGAAACACAAGGATAAGAAATGACAAAACAAAAGAGGAAACACTAAAGACTAAACTAGGAAACATTAAGATAAAGAAATACACAAGGGAAACAAGCAGCACTACCAAAGACAGAAAATGACAACCAAGCAACAAAACAAGGAATTACCTAACTAAACAAGAGTAATCCATGACAAATGGGGCACTTTATTTAAAAAAACAACAGAAGTAAAACTGACCTTAACGTTTCCATTTTCTCTGCCATTTTTTTGGTTGCATCAGCCAAGAGGGAAAATTTCCCGAGTCTGGCTGGAATGTTGGAGAAAAGGTCAGTTTGGACGAAACCTGGGCAGAGGACGTTGATACGTATACCGTAACCCAATGCAGAGGAGGCAGCCTGGTAAACAGCATACAAATATGCAATTAATTACAGTATAGTTCATTGTTGGACAATTTCCTATAGCATTATATTCAAGGATAGAGTGGCCATCCATTGCTAGTCTCAACCTGACTGTACAGGTGTTAATCAGTGGTAAAATATCACCATCTGTCGATCTGTCCTAACGACCAGAGGAACAATCAGGTTGTCTTGAGTGTTTGGAAATGCATTAGTTATGAGTTTCATTCAATCAGCGCACCTCTGTGAGCAAGTAAGATAGCTAATAAGCTTATCTAATGTTATGAATATAAGTTTTACAAGCAAGACCTCAAATCATCAGCCGCCATCCACAGAGAGGGAATCCGCAGCATCTTCAGCCAGTGAAATTCTACAAGTCTGCAATTCACTTAGCAGACGCTTTTATCCAAAGCGACGTACATCAGAGAGTAAGTA